CCCCCCTTTTTTCCCTGGATGAGTAATTATTGTGTTATCAACTGCTTCCTTTGTTCTACTTACCTGTCCGCCTAGCTGGCAAGGAATTTGGCTCGGTTTCAAGTAAAGCTCGTCGTGGCTAGCTGCTCTGAACCTGACTCGACTGAAGGGCTCGACCTTTATGCACATATTTGACCACTCCTTGGCCGTTGATTTGCTAGTCACGACATATAATAATCAGGCGGCTTCATGAAGGATTCACTGCTGCGCAGCGCTGTGTCTACGTGGCCTACAGGTCCGGCGCAGAAGCGATGCAATGTATACCTCACCAATTCAATGCAACAGGCCACATCAAGGGATGCTAGAAATCATCAATTCTCTGCCTTCACAATGCATGCGTCTCGACTCTTTGGGAAATATCAGAATAACAGGTGCCCATGCTGCCTAATCTGCTTTTCCCGGACATGGTGTGGCATCCGTGGCGTACGTGTTGTCATGAGATGGCACGCATACGCCGGTTCTGGTGGCTTCGCGCGGTTGCAGCTGCTGGGGGCTCGAACAAGTCGATAGCCCGACAGAACGCTGCAGTCTTCCGTTCCCAACAACCGTATATGGCCAATGCCCGCTTCCGTGCTCGTTTCAAGCTTGTCTTTCTTCGCTGGCCTCTCGGTGAAGCCACAACCCACATAGATGCAACAACACTCGTGAGCGGCCTGGCCGCATATTAGGCCACCATACCCATCGTGACAGTCCTCCCCTTTATTATAGCACTCACGCAGCGTACATACTCGACACCGATGCCAACCGTGAACCGCGCAATGCAGATACATTGTCTACATGCAAAGTCGTCCAGCACGAGTAGCGGTGTGTGCGTGCGTCCTCGCGTGCGTGCGTGTGCTGGCTCGAGCTCTATTACAGATGTAGAGACTATGGGGAACACGAAAGCCGCATTCTTTTCATGCTCATCTATATTGATATTGCATCGACACCACCGCCACCGCCACACACTACCTCCCCAGTGCCGCGCCCTCCTGTTGTGGCACCACACTCATGTTCCAGAAACCGGGAAACCGCTGGCACACCATCATGCCTGGGGCGGCCCTCCAGACCCTTGGGATACCCTACCCCACGCCCTTTTTTCCGATCCTGCACCCTGTTCCGCCCCCGCGTCGTTGTAGCCGTCGGCGTCGACAACAGCAGTGCGAGGTGGTGCGTCCCCAAGCACAACACGAATTGTCCTTGCAGAAGAAGAGAAAGCACGAAGAGCGGAGGGGGGGGTCCCCGATGAGTATCGTAAGCGAGGGAACTGCCGTTGCGGCAACGCGCATAGGGGGGGCGATGGAGGATGGCTGGCACGCTCCCCGACGGAGTTGGGAGTCGCCGATGGCTGCACGGCGACTTTGATCCCGGGCGAACCTCGGACAACATGGTGTGTGGCACAAGGTCACTGCAAAGACTATACGGACAACTCATGAGAGTATCGCAATTCAATCAATCAAGTATGCTCTAGGTGCGCAGGAAGTGGTGGCCGGCCGTCCCCCCTCATTGCCCGTAACTCACTCACGACTTACCGTAGTCATGTATATGGGCATTGATTTTTACATTTATCAGTGCAATATCGACAGCCTCGAAAAAAGAAAAGAAGGGCACGGCTTTCTAAATCGGTATATTCATGTCCGCCACCACCGGTCGGTGGTCCGAGATGCGCACACCGTCGTCAAACATGTTTTCCAAGACGCCGAAGGACTTGATCACGGCGGCGTGCGGCTCCTGGATGAAGAGAAAGTCGATACGCTGCGGCACCTCCCCGGGGCCGGCCTCTCCAAAGCTCGTGTACGTCAACTCATTTCCGTAGCGGTCCTCGGGTGGCACCAGGTCCGCCACGTCGCTCATGCCGGAGCCCTCCGCGACCATGACGCGGTACGCCCGGTCGTCCGGCTGACTATTAAAGTCGCCGCCGAGCAGCACCGCCGCCGGCGCCTGCCCCCCGTCACCACCACGGCTCCCCCACTCCCGCGCAATCTCCAGCAGCAGGCGCGCGCTCTCCTCGCGCGCCCTCACCCCGCGGTGGTCAAAGTGCGTGCTCATTACCACCACGCGTGTGCCCGTCTCGCGGTGCGCGAACTCGCCCACCGTGACGATGCGGTTGAGCGCGGCGTCCCAGCGCGGCGTCCCAGCCGCTCGAGGGCACGCGCGGGGTCGGGCTCAGCCAGCGCGTCTCGCTGCGCGCGCAGGCCCACGCGTCGGCGCGGTAGAAGATGGGCGAGAACTCGCCGGCGGACGGGTGGGCGTCGCGGCCGCGGCCGACGTGCGCCCAGGACGGGCCGAGGCGCGCGGCGAGGTCGAGGACCTGCGCGTGCAGGCACTCCTGCAGGCAGAGGAAGGCGGAGGCGTGGCCTTCGGTGAGGAAGCGCAGCTGGGTGGCGAGCTTGGGCCCGCGGACGGACCAGGGCTGCTCGCCGCGGACGGGGTGGGAGTTGGCGTACCGCACGTTGTAGGTGATGAGGCGGAGGGGGAGGGTGGCGGTGGCGGCGGCGGCGGTGGTGGTGTTGATGGCGAGGTGCACGGCGGAGGAGGTCGGGAGGTTGGTGTCCTGGGCGGCGGCGGCGGGTTGGACGGTCGGCTGGCTACCGGTGTGCGACGAGGACGACGTCATGGTGGAGGAGGAAGGGCGGAGGTGGTGGTACTGCGTGGTGTACAGGTGCCAGGTGAGGGCGGCGAAGGCGGCGAGGAGCGAGGTCAGGGCGAGCTGGAAGAAGGGGGCGTTGCGTACGGACCGTCGTTTCACGGCCAAGGATGAGGTGGGCATTAGAAGTAGGAGGGTGGAGGAGGAGGAGAGGAGAGGAAGTCGGTGCTATGGAGGTTTGGTCAAGATCCGTCACGTGGAGTTGACGACCCGATGTGGAGGCGGACGGATGACGGCGCCAGGGACCGGCTCGATGACCGTAAAACGGTGACACAGAAGAAAGGAGGCACCGAATTTTTGCTGGGGATTGTCCCACAGGGGGGGAGAGCGAAAGAAATGGAATCAACAACGCGGTTCATGCTGATGGCTGGTGGTTGGATAGAGGGAATAGATGAGCTTGTGCGAAGGCCGCACGGTTCTCGGCTCCCACCCGCCCGAGCATCCCCGCTCGGCGGCCGATGACCCCCGTTTCGGATCCTTCAGAGTGGGAAGCCTGATGTCGTGGACGAAACGGAATTCTCAGCATCTGTAAACTTATGATGACGGATGAATGATTTTCGTTGCCAAAGTGACAAGGAGCCGATAGCTCTAGCAATTGTAATAAAGCGCCAAATTCGCTTAGGCGTCCACAATAAGCACCCTAGACATGTAATACAGCCGTGAGCCAATGCTAAAAATGTTTTCTTTATTTCTTTCTTTCACAGAGAGAGAGAGAGAGAGAGAGAGAGAGAGAGAGAACGAAGAGTCGGGAAAATGGAAAAGAATAATAACCACATATTCTTTTTTCCCTTTGGTGCTATGCGTCATCATAGAGTCGAGATTGAGGAATCGACGAGTTCGTTTACAAAGTAGCGTCCCGCCACAGCTTATTAGACGGTAGCAACCATGGCTCAGTGAGGCCCATTTGGTTTTTATACTGCAGGTCCGAGCTCGAAACTGATTTATGAAAGGACTAAGCAGATAGTGTGAAGGGAGTCGTAGAGCTCGCGCCATACAGCCTACCGGGTAGGTACAAGCTGCGATGATTCGGGCCACGACAGGATCACTGGGCTTTAACAACGGGGGATCAAGCAACCATTACTGGATTTGGTAAGTCATCTTCCTGGGGTCCTACTTCTTTCATCAAGAAAGGAAATTCACGGTTCTATGGGCATTCCATAATGATTACGGTGGAAGCTATTCATCGACAGCGCCGCTTGGCAGTGACGACCTTGACGCTTGTTTTCCCTTTACCTGTGCGTAATTATGACTGCATATATCCCAGACCAATTCGTTCACGTTTTGCGGAAAAGCTGTGATTCCATTTATTTTGCCCCTTCAAATTATGTATCGTCAGAATTGCATAGTGCAAGACCAGGATCCCAGGAGCTCGAGGGTAGGTGTTTGGTGCGCCTGGCTCACGGCCAAGGACGACAGCGGTGGACCTCGCTGCATTCTACAAAAAATGGGAAGTCCTTTTTCCTTTGAAAATTTGCAAAATGACGTGATTTGGATGATATCACTGTGTTCTTGTTTGGAGCATCCTGAAATCTCAACAAACGTTGACGAGGCGAAAGTGGTGGGAGTGTGAAGGGTACAATTGTTCAATATAATGTATCTGCACGCTGTACAGATGTTATGCGTTATGTGTGCTTATATAAATGTCTACCTATCTATCTTGATGTTTTTGTCACCTTTATTAGATAGGAGAGTCGACTTATACTCCCATCAATACCACATCAGCTCACGAATGACGTCGGGTCCCAAGACCAGAGGCAACGTAACCTCAAAGCGCGAAATGCAAATCATGAGCCCACGGGATTAATCATCCTTTTGATGTTACGTACGCCAAGATGGCGCAGTCAGTCAACGTAACCCACCAAGACCTGGCACCAGGCACTTGCACGAGTCGTAGGTTTGGGGGCCGCGGCAGGATGACGACAATTCTGCCAACCACCACGGATAACTCTGCGGGCAAGAGCTTGTATCCGGCATGGCAGTGCCCTCATAGAAAGCTTGAGAAGTCCAATATACTGCCAGAAGACCGAAATGTGCAAAATGGGAGGCAAGGAGGTCATGGGATTCACGAAGTTGGATTGGGTGAGTGGGGGCGAAGGGAGTTCAGAGTCACGGTCTTACTTCAAGACCATGAACAAAAGGCATGTTTTGCTAGGCCGGAGAAAGACAGGCTCCCGAGAAAATGTCTTGCATTTCCGCAAGTCCGTTGCCTGCATGAACCGTTTGGTTGGTGACTCGGAAGGGGGGTTGCACTGGGACTGTGTATATGTGTATATGGTGTAAGTCGTGATGGTACTGTTGCAGTCTTGTCGCTGTCCCAACTCCACACGCACCTGCGGCATCGAGGAATGGGGAAAGTGAAGACGGTAACGGGCCGTGACCAAGACGCAAGTTCTAGCTTTAAACCTTCTTCTTGATGCTGTACAAAAAATACGACTTGGACTGCGGGCGGGAGGCAAGGGCATGACGGGGAGGGGGGTTGTACCGGAGGCTAGCGGTGGCGCTGGAAAGGTGCAGATGACTGGTTTTAGCGCATCGCAGACGGCACGATGGCGAGGGAGGGCGGGCCAATCAGCGGCCTGTAGAGCGCTGTATGCCCTGCCAGCGGTTCTGGGGAAGTGACCTGCTACGGCCAGGACTTGGCACGCTAGGGTGGAACCGACTTGGGGGAGCTCCAGCGCCATCGTATAATTATAGCACGTCCTTGGGAGCACCTGCAGCCTGTAGCTCCAGCGGTCGATGCGCTAACTTGCGCCAACAGCCCGCAAACGACTCTCAACTCGGCTGTTCTGCACCCTCACCGGCTCATCCGTCCTCCTCCCAGGCATGTGCAAACCACCAAGACAAAAAGACAAAACTACCATCACCATCAAAATCTCCATATCGATGACCACTTTTCCATGTACCATAAAAACCGAAATGGGTGTCGCGGGTGAGCACCTAAACAACGAATTTAGTGGAGAGCGGCCAAAAATAACTTGTACCTGCTGGGTACCCTTTTTGTTTGGGTTAAACAGGGCTGAACGGCTCCGAAATGGATGTCGCTAGCACGTGTTGTTTAGCTTCAGTAGTCACTCAATGTTACTATACATATTAATACCTGTTTCCACTGCATTATGCGTTTTCTGCCTTTTCATTAACCACGCCAGAAACAGCCTCTTACAAAACTGATCCTGGCGCCACCATAATAAAGTGTAGAAATATACTCCTTGGGCCAAATATAGTGCTAGCCACCCACAATCGCGGGTGGTGCTGCGCCGCAGTCTCTATCCACCAGCCACTTAGCTGCTGCCTAGCCGCATCGCGTGTGTGCAGAAGAGAAAGAGAATCTTCTTCCATCATACATCAACCATGCTCGCCATGTAACGGCAAAACAACATCTACCATGGCAGCCCCTCGCCACCGCCACCAGATATCCCACCAGGGCTTCGTCAACTTGTCGTCGAGCCCGCCCCTCTCCGATGACGTACGCGTAGAGGCCGGTGAACGATTCCATCAGATTATCGATCACTTCACGGCCAGCGACACGCCGCCGCCGCCGGGCCAACCAGCTACAACAGGCCAAAGCTCGTCGGATTAGTCTACCGGTATGCCGTGTCGCCCAAATCCCAGGATAATGTCTACGCGCCTTTTTTCGCGCCATCGAGCTGCCCATGGAAGGGCCCGCCATCGACCTCTCCGACGACGAACAAGCCGAAGCCCTGGGCGCCCGCGTCGCGGTATTCGCCGAGTATTTGGTCGACAACTTCTTCCTACCGCTGCGGGCGTCAACCGCGCGTACACCCCAGCCGACGCCCCATTATCGGTCCGCGACCCTGAGGTCCAGTAGCCGCGACTTTGTCGGGACGCCCGAGCGGCTGTCCACCCTCCGTGGCGACTGCCTAACGCGCGACAGGCATCGGTGCGTTATATCACGCGCATTCGATATGATCAAGGCGCGCGAGCGTGAAACTCCAGAGGGTTTGATTGTTGACGATGCGGGCGAGCCGATCGAGGATAACAACATACATTATTTGGAGGTTACGCACATTTTACCGCACTCCTTGGTCCACGTCGCAGCTGACGAAGAGCTGGTGTGTATTCAACATTGACGCCTATTACCTACTGTCTTTTCTGTTTCTCTTTCTTCTTTCTTGTTTTCCGTTTAGGCCATAGCGCTAATGGGTTTTCTAGAGCGAAACCAGAAAGACGGCTCTCGAGATCCTCAACATGCTTGACAATGATGTCGCCCAGCTTATAAACGGTGTAGACATTGACCGACCACACAATTCTTTGACGCTTACCCTGAACATGCATCGGGGCCTTGGAGCCTTTGATATTTACTTTACGCAAATTCCCGACCGCCCACATACATATCGGATTGAAACGTTTCGAAGAATCGGATTCATGGTCATGTTTCCGGTGACGAGGGCGCTGTACCTCTCGGTAGACCAGAGTATTGAGCCACCAGCACCACGCCTGCTTGCCTTACACCGCGCCATCGGACATATCTTGCATCTTTCAGGGGCGGGGGCGTACATCGACAATATCCTGCGCAAATTTGAGGAGGAGCAACCGGTGCAATGTAATGGGTCGACGCCGCTGGGAGAATTTGTGCAGCTGAGAATGAATCGGTGGGATGCCACTGCCATCAACTTTTAGAGCGGAAGATACTGTTACAGGTAGAATAAGTATTGTCCGAAATTGAACCTTGAGGTATTTAGACTTTAATGACCTATGTATGTACATAGACCTGGAAGCACCCGTAAGATTGTCACTAATTCCGGTGCTAATTCCCAGTGGGTACACTAGGACTGAGATGCATAACAGCGACCAGCTAGCCAAAGCGCCGACTTAACAAATACATACCTAGGGAAGGTACTCTGAGACAGTTATCCACATAGTTACCAGGCTGTACACAAATATGCTCCCCCCCTCCCGGAGTGTGGAGGGGGATGCGAATAGAAACTCGGCTGCCTGGTATTAGCAAACAGGCGACCATATTTCCGTCCGAACGGCATTCAACTCGGTCTTCTCTTCCTCGACCTCGTAAGCGCTGATGACTGCAAAAGCCAGAAAGGACAAATACGCAACGCCATGACGAAATTATCTGCGCCACCATGCTGGACCGGGTGACCGCGGTCATGCAAGGCACAAACGATTTGCCCCTCGACACCCCTCGACAGGTGAGCGACAAACGATTGGGGGAACAAAGAATCCGAGCCGAAGGAGCCGGACTCGTCATCCCCCCCAAGGCCAAGCCATGGAATCCCATCACGGTGGGCTTGACGTGCAGGCGGACACAATGGCCGGAAGACGATTGATTGGTTTGAGCCGATCAAGCAGGAAAAACGTCGATCGTAGATGGGCGTCATGCAGGTGAAAAGTGCCATCCGACGAGGCTTCCGCGTGACCCAGGATGGGAAAGAGGACCAGTGAAAACCATGATGGGGGGGTTGATTGTGATCATATGGTACCGTAAAAAAACCCCCGAAATGGGTGTCGCGGGTGAACAACCTATGTATGTATGTACATACATAACAAGTTTAGTGGGAAGCGGTCAAAAATAGCTTGTGCCTGCTACATATGTACATATGTATGTAAGTACCTTTATTTGTGTACCCTCAACAGGCTTAACGGCTAGTTGCCGCTTAATGCCCTATTAAATACTTTGACCGAAGTCATCGTTACACGCAGTACTGAGGCTCTGAAGGGCACGAAAGGCGTCTTTCTCTGGACATATCTAGCCTGAATCCTAACTATACCAGTAAACGTCATATTGCATGCCAACTAGTTCTACACGGTAGAAAACACGAGCCAAGGGGCGTAACGCCGGAACAGCCATTCAGCCAGCCTTGTAGGCAGACGATAGCGACGCCAGACTCAGCCCTCGCGCCTTGAACTTGCGAGGCAATGTGACGAGGTCGGCAGTTGCGGAAACTCTTTTTTTATCCTCTGTACATCTGGAACTTCTCACACTTACATCGCCGCACGCACGCGAGATAAAGAGAGCCGAGCCAAGGCTGCATGCCCATGCCATGAACCTCCTATCGGCCGATGAGCGCATGCAGTCGGACCCTAGCACTCGCAGCGGGCCGTGATAACCCTCGCCGTGATGCACTTGGTTCCTTTTCAGCATTTTTTCCATCATCTCATCTCCACCAGCTCTTCACTTGGCTTCCATCTCCCTTTTCGCTGGCGGTACTCGTGTCTTACACGCCTCTCCTCTCTGGCCTCAGCCTCAACTAGCCCACGGCACGGCCGGGCTGGTCCACGCTCCACGTTCTTGACTGCCGGGCAAGCCAAGAGACCAACTTCGAATCCTCGCCATGTACAACCATCGTCCAGGACGTCGATTTCCTATGGTGGGGGGGTAACATGACCACATGCCGCCCACCCACCCCCCCCTCCCTTCACACCCTCAAGTGGCTGCTGATTTTAGTTACGGCTTGGCGCGCGAGCCGAACCTCCTCGAGGGTTGCCTTTTTGTCCTCGCCGTCGACTCACAATGGCTGGTCAGGCTGGCGAACCGTGTCCTTTGCTCGCTACGCTGCCATTCACCCCCCACCCCGTCCCAAGCTTTTGCGCAGAGACCAAGACTCACCAGCTCGTGGCGTGCGCGCGCTGTGCAGGGATTAATTACTAGTTCGCGAGAGAAGGCTTGCATGTGCCGCATCTTGAGATATACCCAATATGGGAACAAGGCGGCTGGCTGGCTGCCTGTCCGGCTTTTAGACCTATATATGAACTCGTGGGCGCCCGTCTTTATTCCTCCCATTTCCCTCTGGTTTCCCTTTTTGACGAGATAAAGCTCTGGTTCTTCTCCCATCGTCACGAGGCACGAACATAGGTGGTTCTTGTCTAGATATTGTCTGTCCTCTTTGGTTTGCAGCTCCTGCTCGTGGGGGCACAACTCCCCGTCATACACTGACACCAACTCTGCATCATCTACATTGACAACTACCCTAATAACCTCTTTCCTACCTTGTCCTCCCACATTTAATAACACATCCACAATGCCGTCCTCTCTCACCAACACATCCTCCAACCGGCAGTCCTGGCCACCCACGCAGCTCCGTCTCGTCCGGGGCGGCTCCCACAAGAGCATCGAGCCGCGTCCTCTCCTCGAGGACATTGACGAGGATCCCCTGACCTACTTCCTCACACCAAACCCTGACGACGACGAAGACGACGACGACGACGAGCTGCCGTTCGCCGACTTTGACGCCGGCATCGAGGTAGCCGGCCGTCCCCGTCGCGACGACCTGGTCCGCAGCGTCAGCCCCTCTACGCTCGATGGCCTCGGCAAGATCCGCCGCGCCGCCGCGTCCCCCTCGGACTTTGACTCGGACGGTCTGACGTCCGACGACGACGACGGCGAGGACTACGTCCGCCTCTCGCCCTCGCCCTCCCCGCCACCGGTGCGCCAGGGCCTCGCCGTGCCGCCACCGCCGCAAGGTCGTCACAGCTTCACCGTCGGGAGCTACCCGTTCGGGCTCCGCTCGCGCAGCCCCGTCGCGCGGACGGCATCGCCCCCGTTCCAGGTGTCATCCTCGTTCCCGCCGCCGGGGTTCCGCGGGAGGCCCGCTGCAACTGCTCGCCGTGGTCGGTGGTCGGTGCCGGGCGCCGCGACGCAGCGCGTGGCGAGGCCGGGACATCTCTGGCGCGAGCCGAGCGCGGACGTCTGGTCCATCGAAGAGGAGACGGAGGAGGAGTTGACGAGGAGCGAGACGCGCGGGCGCTTCGCCGCCGCGAGGGCCGGGGCGACCAGGGGTCAGGGCGCGAAGCCGATGAAGAGAGTTCGCTTCGTCCTCCCCAGCGAGCAGTAATTCTTCCTGTCAGTCGAGAAGGAGGTGGCTAGTTGAATCTAGTACATGTGGTCTTTTGTCATTTTGGGGGGAAGGACACGCGCCCCTTGCTTGTTCGTCTTGTCCTGCACATCATACGGCGTTTTGGGTGTTGATTGGACCGGGGATGTCCGTTTTTGGTAGGCCGGGATTACTGGCTTCTATGGGATTCTAGGGCGTTAAGTGGTTTTTGTTTCATTTTGCCTTGTTCTGCATCGGATCGGCGTTCACGGATCATGAGCTGGGATATTACAGGCTGTCGGTTCCGCGGCTGGCTTGGGCGTTTGGTGTTATTCGGGTCGACTTTGATCTTGGCTTTCTTTCGGTTTCGGCTCTGGCAGCTTGATTCTTTTTTTTGGCGTACCACCGGCTTGGTAATGCAAATTTTCTGTTTCATCTTGATTTTTCTCTCCTATCTCTTTTCCTACTTTGTGTTTTTGCACCTGCGAGTTCTTTGCCATCTACAAGACACGGCCAACTCCTATCAGTTACTCATCTGTATACGAATAACATATCAGTATTGCTTCAAAGCATCTGCACGAACCTGTAGAATGTGAACACGGTAACTAGTTTGCCTGATCGGCTATCGGGTGCGGAGATGAAGCTGCGCGTCAGATTACTGCTTACTGTATTTCGAGCTGCTCGTCCTGATGCGTACGCTAGGACAGTGGCCTCGGCTCACGAGTGACCGAGCGCAGCATGAAGCCACAACACACATTGGCCGCAAATACGCCGGGAATAAATAGTAGACGGGCATTTCTATAACTGGAGATGAGTTGCCTTTTTCAACGTGTAGATATGTGTATACTAGAGTTGTAGCAAGAAACGCTAGCCCTCCACTGTGCTTATCACGCAATTGTCTGGCTAGGCAGGGTAAGATTACCTTGTCGGGTTTGCAGTACGCCGGCGGCTTCACGTCAGAAAATATTCCTATTTGGGACAATCGAGAGCGATGCCTCCACAGAAGCCTCATCGCGCATCTTGATTGGCTTCTCCTTCCTTCTCACCGTGTGCCGCCAACTGGTGATCGGCTCATCCTCCCCACCTCTCCATCAGACCAGTGCCAGCCAGGCTCGGCGGCCCGGAAGCGTGGGCTCGGGCTCACTGGTTAACATATTTGCTGATAATCTCATCTCTCTCCCCGCCGGGCGAACTTTCCTTGTTCCTTCTTTTCCATCTCCCCGGTCGACGGTCGTCACCTTATTGGACTCTGAGCTCCTACACAGCCTTGTAACCCGCCGCACTAAAACGCGAACGACTCAACTCGACTTGGACATGACCGCATTGCCATTTTGAGGTAACTTCCCGAGGCAAATTTGTATAGAAGTGACCATCCAGCCTAGTCAGTTAATAATCCTGTCTCCGCCCGGAAGCCACATAGACCCATCTGGCTATCCTTCCGTTGGTGCTATCCCCAGCCAGGTCGCTCCTTCCTCACATCTGTCTCCCGGAGAAGCAACCCCGCCACCGCATCATTCGTGCTTCCTCATAGTTTATTCGCATCCATGTAATGTTTGCTCAAGAAAATGGAGCGCCAAAGAGTATATCGCGTTATTGAGAGGATCGGAGGCGGCTCGCCCGAAGCTGGCTTCACCATAGCGCCGCCGCCGCCGGCCAGCAAGCCTGTCCAGAAACCTCGTCAACGCCGCTGGACGCCCAAGGTCAAGACTGGCTGTATTACTTGCCGGTGAGTTGTCGCTGATACTGTCATCCCGCGTCGACAGACCCAAAAACTCACGCTGGACTCAGCTACTAACACCTCACGCCTCCACAGCATCCGCCGTGTCAAGTGCGACGAAGGTCGGCCCGCGTGCAAGAAATGCATCTCGACCGGCCGAAAGTGTGACGGATTCGAAATCTCCCCCGAGCCCGAGCCCGCCCCGTGCGCCTCGTCGCCCATCGCCACGCCATGCCTGCACGCGCTCACACCCATCTACGGGCGGGCGTCGCCTCGCGAGCGCGAAATGTTCAATCTGTTCCGCACCAAGACCGTCACCCAGGTCTCCGGCGCCTTCTACCAGCCCTTCTGGCACGTCGACGTGCTGCTGGCCGCGCAGACGCAGCCGGCCATCTGGCACGCCAGCCTGTCCATGGCCGCCATGTACGCCTGGTTCAAGATGGACGACGACGACGATGACGGGGATGACGGGGATACGATACAGAGGCAGGAGCACTACCGCTTCGCGCTGCGGCAGCACAATGAGGCCATCGCGCACCTGGTCGCGCTGGCGCAGAACCGCAAGGAGGACGACGCGCGCTCCGCAGAGGTGCTGCTGATGGCGAGCGTGCTCTTCACGGGGCTGAGCAGCCTGCGGGGAGACCCGAGGGAGGCCATGATGCATGCGAGTCACGGGCTGCGCGTCGCCCAGCAGTGGCAGTTTCTCGAGAAGACGGAGGAGGATGCAGAATGCGGGGTGTCGGGAGCATCATCATCATCGACGGCGGCGGACCACCACATGCTGCCAACCAAGTCTCTCGTCGGCCTCATCGACGGCTTCGAGGTACAGTACATGTGGACCGGCGCACGGCAACCGATCCTGCGCCGCGGCGGCCTCCCGCGCGAAGTGCCCGTGGCGCCGTTTCGCTCGGCGACCGAAGCGTGCTTCGAGCTGCAGCGGCTGGTGGGCGGGCTGCTTATAGCGGTGCGCAACGAAAAGGAGCGGCGGACGGCGGGGACCTCGGCCTGCGGGGTACCCGGGGCACCGGCGCCGGTGCCGGACCTCCGGCAGCCATACCGCCACGCGCTGTCGGCGTGGAAGGTCAAGTTCTCGCACCTCAAGTGGTCGCAGCGCCTACGGCAGTCGACGGACCACCACCTCGATTCGTGCGCGCTGGTGCTCGATATTTGGCTGTGCGGCGCCGAGATCGCGTCCAGCCTGGACCTGAGCCAGTACGAGCTGGCGTGGGACACGTTCGCGGCGCGCTTCCGGCGAATCATCAAGCTGACGCACAAGCTGGTAGCCGAGGAGGCCCTGCAAGAAGAGGAGGTAGGACGGCGGCGACGGCGACGGCCTGTCTACTCGTTCTCGCCGTCGGTGTGCGAGCCGCTGTTCATGGTGGCGAGCAGCTGTCGCGATGGGCAGCTGCGGCGGGAGGCAATTGCGCTGCTGAGGCAGCGGCCGAGAAGGGAGGGCATCTGGGACGCGCGGCTGATGGCGGCGATTGCGGAGGCCAAGATGCACATCGAGGAGAGCGGCGTCGTGGCTGCGGTGGAGGGGATGATGATGGGGGGTTGCGGGTGCATTCCGGGGGTGTACGTGTGCAACACGCATCGCGTCTTTTTCATGGACATTGAGTTCCTCCCGGACAGGGCGGCGATGGCGGTGATGAAGACGCTGCAGGACGTGGCCATCAACTCCGAGGGTCAGATCGTAAGGGTGACGTACTAGATGGAGATGTGTGGTTGGTTACGAATGCAAAGTGCTGATATTGCAGTATATGTGTACATGATGGATAGGCTGGCGCAAGGGATGTTTCTTTTGGGAATATATGAAAACTGCATCTACTTTACCTCGACCTTGACTTCGACCGACAGTGATGTTCATGTTGCAGTTGTCTTACTGGAAGCTCTCTCTTTGTCCCTGGTTCAATCTCTCCGCCTAACTTCTTCTCTTCCTCCAGAGCAGTCTTTTCTTTATCAGAGTCGAACCCCAATGTAGAAAGTTTGTTTGACAGGATGGAGGAGCGTGGCCAGTTGGTGGGAGAGCGTTGAGCAAGCCTCAGCGGTGGGCAAGCCGGAAAACAAGCCTTGTACCTACAAACAAGGATGTAAATGGCTGGATAGCCACTTGTTACCCTAATTTGCAATATTCTAGCTGTCATTGGACGTCAACGGGACTTGTGCATCCAGCGTAGTCCTCTCCTGCAGTGTGAGTAAGTCTCGGCTGAGAACGCGGCCGCCATGTTCTTCGATCAGGCTCGCAGGAGACTCGCCCCGAGATGGCTAGATCCATTGGGATCTTGGGGTTGCTCCCGAGTAGTCAGCCATTGATTGCTGCTCAGAGATGAAGCAGGCTGGGCTAACAAAGCCGAGCGAGGCTGAGCACGGTCGGTTCCGGCCCCGGAAGAAGGACGTTGACTTCCCGCAACGGCAAAGGGCGGCGTGCTCGTTCAATAATAGTGTTGGTAAGTAGGTAATAGCATAAATCTCTCGGTGAGAAGGCCAAGAAGGTCCTTTTGCGCTCTTGCCAGGCAGGGCATGTGGAGGAGCTGGGTCGCCCCGTTGTCGGGCTTCAGCTGCCAAAGGTCCCCAGGGCAGTCAAGCAGTCAAGTAGGATAGATGAATGGAACAAACGGGGCCGTCGGCACAGTCGGCGTAGTGGTCTCGGAACAAGGTCGCCATCAGCGGACAAGCATGGGGAGGGGATGGATGTTGGCGCACATCGTGGCTGGTTTGAGCAGGTGGCGAGGATCTTTTGCCTACCTACCTGCGGCGCGCATGATGCAGGCAGGTAAGGGCAGGCAGGTACTTATCAACCGCTATGATTAACCTCTGCAGCCGGCAGTTTTGGGTCTTTGCAGGGGGCTTCACGGGGAATCGCAGGGGTCACAGGGACCGCACAAGACGGTCCATCTGGGCGCCGGGTCTGCAGATCTTCAACACCATCGGGGTGCTGCATCGCCAAACGGCCAAGGGGATCTCTGTGGAACCCTCTGCAGAGCCTGCTCATTTCCCACGTAAAATTTCTTCATGTACGGAAGAATTCGTGCTACAAGGTCCAGAGTAGTCGATGCTTCTCAGCTGCCTCTTCTAAACCAACGACGCACCCCGCAGCGGGCCACTGACTGCATCATCCATCTACTAGTACTTGGTGGTATCGTCGGCCAGGGCCAACGTATCAGTAGCCGCCCTAGTTTTAAACTGCCAGATTAGTTGCATCCTTTTGCGATCAAAAGTTCCTTGCGCCGCCCACCCCGACGCCCAGATGCCGAGGAAGCAGCCCGCTATTCAGCCCCCAGTATGGGGATGCTGGACACCACGGCCGTGCTGGCCACCAATCCTAGGCTCTGGTCCGTCTCCCTAATTCTCCGGGGCTGGGAATTGCCAGCGTGTGATTTTGCCGTATTGCCGGTCGACGGGAGGTTTTGGCGCCAAGTTTGGGCAGCTGTACGGCAATCTGTGGATGGGCTGCTGACAGCCTACTGATGCAGCGGAGAGGAGAGGATAGGACCCAACCTGTCCGTGTCTTGGTGGGCTCTCTCTCACACGCGACCAGTCCGGGGGGGGGGGGGTTCGTGCATTCTTCCCTCGTTCGTTTCCAGGGTTCCTTTGTGTTAGTGACACTACATACGGATAGTATGAACGAGCAGCGATAACGTGCCGGGTTAGAGCGAGCCTGCTTATTCGGTGTCTCCCAAGGCGGTGCAAGGGGCTTTTGTGCCATCTCTGTACGCTACTATCATGTAGAACACGACTGTTATCCTTGCCATCACCGATTACTTATATCAGCCACAGACCCGGCCCGTCCCTTGTCTCTCCCCATCCCCCTCCTCTCCATTGACGAGGCTCGCGTGCAGGAAAGCAGCAGCAGAAGCAGCAGAGACAAGTCCATCGCAGCCATGAAGGAGAAGAGTTCCAGTGACGACGGCATCAGCGCCGCAAGCCACGGCGTTGGCGACATCTCCCAGCTCGAGGCCCAGGCCCAGCTTCGCTCCGTCCAGCAGCACCACCTGCACGACCCCAACCTCCCCGACGACTTCCTCGACGACGTCGCCGACGCGCTGGCCGCCGCCGACTCCAAGACGGCCGTCGCCACCGCCGCCCACGTCCTCGAGGACTCGCCGTACCCAGAGGTCCGCGCCGCCGTCCGCAACTACGACGAGGACGTCCCGGCCAACACCATCCGCGCCTGGGTCATCGGCATGCTGTTTACTACCATCGGCTCCGGGCTCAACATGCTCTTCAGCATGCGCGCGCCGTCCATCATCATCACCACCTACGTAGCCCAGCTGCTGTGCCACCCGGTCGGCCTCGCCTGGGCGTGGGCGATGCCGAACCGGCAGTATTCCCTGCTGGGGTTGAAGTTTAACCTGAACCCGGGGCCATGGAACAAGAAGGAGCACGCGCTGGTGGTCATCATGGCCAACGTCAGCTTCGGCGGCGGCTCGGCGTACAGCACCGACATCATCCTCGCCATGAAGCAGTTTTACAAGCAGGATTTCGGGTGTAAGTTCCCTGCCCGTCACTGTGCTGCCAATCAAGGCAAGGTCTGACCCGGCGAGAAACAACAGGGGGCTTTCAGCTCCTCCTCACATTCACCATCTCCATGTGCGGCTTCGGCATGGCCGGCCTCTTCCGCCGCTACCTCATCGAGCCCGCCGCCATGATCTGGCCGACCAACCTCATCAACACCTCCCTCTTCTACGCCCTGCACGACCACTCGCCCTCCGACCCGGCCCGCACCAACGGCTGGTCCGTCGGCCGCTACCGCTGGTTCGCCTACGTCTGCGCCGGCTCCTTCGTCTGGTACTGGTTCCCCGGCTTCATCGCCCCCTTCCTCAGCGTCTTCGCCTTTGCCACCTGGATCCGCCCGCAGAGCCCCGTCGTCAACCAGCTGTTCGGCGGCTGGACGGGAATCTCCCTGATCCCCATCACGTTTGACTGGACCCAGGTCAGCGGCTACACGACCTCGCCGCTCATCTTTCCCTGGCACGCCATCGCCAACACCACCGTGGGAGTGGTCGTCTTCATGATGATTGCCAACATTGGCATTCATTATACCAACACGTTTTACAACTTGTACCTGCCGATCAGCGACTCGGAGAGCTACGACAACATGGCGCAGGTGTACAACGTAAGCCGCGTCCTGACGCCCAACTTTGAGCTGGACATGGAAAAGTACAAGGCCTACTCGCCACTGTTCCTGTCCGCCACCTTCACCATGGCCTACGGCGTCTCCTTTGCCGCCATCTCCGCGCTCGTCGTCCACACCATCCTCAACCACGGCAAGGAGATTTGGCAGCGCCTCACCGCCGTCGGCAAGCACGACGACGACGACGACGTCCACACCCGGCTGTACTCCAAGTACGACCCCGTGCCCTTTTGGTGGTACGCCGTGCTCTTCCTCGCCATCTTCGGCATGGGCTTGGGGACGGTCCTCGGCTACGCGACCAACATGCCCGCCTGGGCGTACATCGTCGCCATGGTCCTCGCCTGGCTCTTCATCCTGCCCACCGGCATCATCCAGGGCGCCACCAACGTGCAGCTCGGCCTCAACGTGCTCACCGAGTTCCTCGCCAGCTACATGCTGCAGGGCCGGCCCGTCGCCAACATGCTCTTCAAGGCCTACGGCTACAACGCGCTCTACCAGGGGCTCGCCTTCGTCAGCGACATGAAGATGGCCGTCTACATGAAGGTGCCCCCGCGCACCGTCTTCCTGGGCCAGACCGTCGCGGTCGTCTGGTCCTCCGTGGTGCAGGTGGCGGTGCTGAACTGGGCGCTGGGCGCGATCGAGGGCATCTGCGAGCGCGACCAGCCGGACCACTTCACCTGCCCCGGCGCCAAGGTCTACTTCAACGCGTCGGTCATCTGGGGCGTCATCGGGGCGCAGCGCATGTTCGGCCCCGGCGCGCTGTACTCCCCGATGCTCTGGTTCTTCCTGGTCGGCGCCGTCTGCCCGGTGCTCACGTGGGCGGTGCTCCGGCGCAACCCGCGCTCGGCGGTAAGCTACGTCAACTGGCCAATCATCTTTGGCGGCAGCGGCATGATCCCGCCGGCGACGGCGCTCAACTACCTGTCCTGGGCGTGGGTCGGCTTCCTCTTCAACAAGTACATCCGCAACAAGTACCGCGGCTGGTGGATGCAGTTCAACTACGTCACCTCGGCCGGGCTCGACGTCGGCCTCGCGCTGAGCACCATCCTCATCTTCCTGGCGCTCGGCCTGACGGGCACCGAGATGACGCCCTGGTGGGGGTCGGTCGGCGCGCTCAACACCATGGACGTCCAGGATACGGCCATCATCAGGCCTCTGGCGGATGGGGAGACGTTTGGACCCAAGACTTGGTGAACTAGATAGGTTGGCGTTGTCCAAGCATGTATGCTACGCGATATAAATAGTCATGTCAGATACCACCATGTTGATCGTTGCTTTGAATTTTCTAACCATGGCCTACCCTGTAGTAAGTTGGTGACCACATGCGTGCGCCAAAACAGCGCTACTTTCTCGCTTGCGATAAATACATAAAATGTGTGAAGCTAATTCTCTACTCTCTTTTCCTTTTTTTTATTTTTGAAGGCTAGGTGATGTCGCTGGTAGGCCATTTATCATGAGGGGTTGATGCTTTCTCAGCCTGAAGCTCGTCCTACCTTATTAGCTTGAGGTCTATAATTATGCCAAGACGATGCCAAGTGTCTTCTCCATCTGTTCACGATCTGTTACACTTATTTTTCCAGATGTATGAAACGTATGGCAGTTGGCATGGTTGAGCCTCGAGCAGCCCCAACTTCCGCTCACCCAACGACAAGATGCGCAGGCAACTGACTATACGTAGGATACCAACCACACATACTTCAAAGCTTGCTCATCTCGCTCACGTCAACCGTTCAGTCATGTCGATCGCCTCTCAGCCACAGAAACCCGGCGGCGGGTTGGCTAGTCGCGACGCTACGCTTCTAGCTCGCCGGGCGGTATTGAGGAAACTGTGGTTCTTCTCTATTGATGAAGCCGCCGCCACACTCGACGAAGCGCTATCCCAAACTCGGGATTCCCTATCTTGGGGAAGGCAGCGCCACCTTTCTCGTGACAAGTTTACCACGTTATATCAGAGGATCGCCCCCTTGGCAGCGGGCCCCTTCACCGTTGTCTGTTACACGGCTACACCGAGCGCAACCCGAGAACCCTTTGTTCTCATCTCGACAACCAGGCGTGGTGGAGCATCAAGGCATCTATCCAATTGGTTATGGCTCACCATGTTGGTTTCGTGGCTGAAAATGTCTTTAGATAAACAACAAAAAATACGGAGAAGGTGGGTTGGGTGGCATGCCCTAGACGCCGCTCGACATCGCCGCTTGTCCAAGGCCGGTAGAGGGGGGAGCCCTATTGAGCTTTATTACGGCTGCGTCTTTGCTACAGGCCCGGGTTGATGTGTGGCAACAAATTTGTCGGGCGCCCCCTTTGATGAGTCGTATATGTAGTAGAGTCAAGGCCGACTCGCCTGCCTTCCCAAAGGGAACTCGAGCTGAGATGTAAATGTTTCCTCGAAAATCTCTTACCATCTTTCATCGGTCTCTGAAAGGAAACTGGATGAGAAGGAAAATGAAGAACAAAATCATCCTCGCCGGCCTGTTTGGCCTCGCCGGCCTTGTCAGTGCCGGCTCGGGCTCGGGCTTCCTCCGACGACACATGCCCGAGTCCCAAACGACGACGCACCAGATGAGCCGGCGGTATATGACGGAGGCTAGAAAGCAGAAACATATCGACGACGTTCCTCCGCCGCGCTTCCGCAACAACGACACCGAGAGTGAGTCTCAACCCGTGGGAATCGCCATCGCCGGCCCAACCCATCCAGAATTGCTTACACGGGGACCACCCTGAGCAGGATTCTACGTCGACGGTAGCACGTTACCGCTGATCGACTGGAACGTCGGCGAGTCCTACGCCGGGAATCTGCCCATCTCGGATAGCGCCAACGAGACGAGCGAGCTCTTCTTCTGGTACTTTCCCACCGCGACGAAGGAATTTGCCGAGAACAAGGAGATTGTGATATGGCTCAACGGCGGTGTAAGTTCAATATCAAGTCGGCCATATCGCTGGATTCGCCCATGCTGACGAGATTTTGGCAAAAACACAGCCCGGATGCTCCTCGCTGCTCGGCTTCCTCGAGGAGAACGGCCCGATAGCCTGGGGCGAGGGCATGGCCACGCCGCAGCGCAACCCCTTCAGCTTCCACATGCTCACCAACGTCGTCTGGCTCGAGCAGCCCGTCGGCGTCGGCTTCACCAAGGGCCACGAGGTCATCCACAATGAGGAGGACATCGCCGCGCAGTTCATCGGCTTTTGGAAGAACTTTGCCCGCACGTTTAGCATGGACGGGTGGAAGGTGTACATTACCGGCGAGTCGTACGCCGGCATGTACGGGCCGTACCTCGCGCAGGCCATGCTCGACCGGGCCGACGCCACGTACTACGACATGGCCGGGCTGCTCGTCTACAACGGCATCTCGTGGGGCGAGGCGCTGCAGTCCGCCCCCGTCGCCTTCCCGTTCCTCGACATGCACTACGACCTCATGCCCCTCGACCAGCCCGTGTTTGAGCAGCTGCGCGCGCTCGACGCCAAGTGCGGCTTCGAGGACTTTCGGAGGGAGTACTTTGTGTACCCGCCCCGGGGTCCGATGCCAAGCCCGCTGTCGCATGCTGACAACGAGAGCGACTGTGCCGGCATCTTTGACAAAGTGAACATGGAGGCGGTCAAGAAGAATCCGTGCTTCAACATATATAACATCGTGGATAGATGCCCGAGGCGTAACGAGCCGCTGTCGGGAAACGACGCGTGGTTCGCCAGGCAGGACGTGCAGGCCGCGATCCACGTCGGCCCGTATGTCGCGTGGCACGAGTGCAGCCAGGTGTTCCCGGAGGGCGTTGAGGACCAGTCGGATCCGGCGGGCGTACACGCGCTACCGCAGGTCATCGACCGGACCGGCAACGTCATCGTCGCTGCGGGCACCAACGACTATATCCTGTCAATGAACGGCATCCTCCTGGGCATCCAGAACATGACGTGGGGCGGGAAGCTTGGCTTTCAGCAGGCGCCAAGCGATCCCTTTTACGTACCCGCGTACGGCTTCGACCCGGACAGGATGGGAGACGACGACTATAACGCCGAATTTTACGGGTACGAGCTCCCGGCCGGGTACGGCGTCATGGGTACCACGCATCAAGAGCGCGGCCTCTCGTTTGTGGTGTCCCAGCTGGCTGGGCACGAGGGCCCCGAGTTCACGCCTGCAGCGTCATTCCGCATCTTGGAGAAGCTGCTCGGCCGAATTGACAGCTTGAGGGAAGTGTCTGCCTTTAGCTTACCTCAGATCAGCAACGTTACGCAGCCCGAGGGTGAGCTGGGCAACGGCACTGTCAAGATACCATGCTGGACTAGGGGATGTTAGATGGGTGGCTTTTACGGCATTGCTGATTTCAAATGAGGCGTTCAAGGTATAAACGGTACTTGATCGCAATAATGAGTTAGAACGATATCCCTCATGACTTAGATCGTGACTTATGGTTCAAGTCGTGCAAGTGAATGATGGCGGCTCAATGAAACAATTGAACGAGCCGTGTCAAGTCGATCGACGGCCCAGGATAGAACAGACTAGGTATGTGTGGCTGACAGCCGTTTTACAAGATGCAGCCGAGATGGTGGCACACATGACAGAATGTGCGAGCCCGTGTGACGGTCATCTGCCCATCTGCCCGTACTAGTCGAACTCAGCCACTGGGCTAGCAGAGCTGGACCATCAGTTTCTGGAGCTACCTATCAGGGGAGAGTGTCGCATCGCGGTTTGAGTCTTGCGGCCTTTCTGCGTGGTGGCAGTATTGCGCATTCCTTGTTCGTTGCTGTTTGGCTGGGCGCACACATCGTGTCTTGATTGGCATATTGCACTTCCTGCAGGGAGCTTGGGGCATGGTGACGTGGAAATGCGAGACATGCTGCGACGCTGTCTTGTAACTACTGTATGAAGCCGTTTGGATTTGGGGCATGCGTATCCCTAGATATGTACGGATAGATGCAGCTTTGAAAGGCGCAAGGCGTCGAATGGCGGCGGGACGAGACGGGAGGTGTGGTGGCGTTGGAGTGGTGCAGTCGGGATGAGAAGCAAGAACGAGGTGCATGAAATACTGCCATGTAGAACATGCGTGCATCGGCAGAAGGGCGGGGAGGGCTTGTGCCTAGCGGCCGAGAGGATGGATGATGATTATTGTGTTGACGGCGACGACGATGATGATGCGAGCAAGCAAACGGAAGGTAAATGGTACATAATAAGGTAATAATAACAAGGCACAGAGAGAGACTGGATCAAAACAAGGCGATGGCGGAGTCGCAGAAGACGAGTCAAGGTACCTCGTGGGCGTATCCTTGGTGTAAAGTGTACCTGCTAAGAAGGTTCATCAGGAAGACCGGCTGCCGGCGGTGCTACCAAGTGGGGATGGTAGTTTAAGTGTTTTGAGCACCAAGGAACAGTTTTATGGGCGACAAAGCTCGCTGTAATCGACATATTAACTGGCCAAGACTGCTATAACTGACACAGATAAGACGAGACAAAGCCACCCCAAGCCACGAATCAAGCCGCTAATAACAAGAGCCACTAAAACATCTCGTAAGTTAGTTTCCTTGCTTCCCTGCTTAGCTGTGCCCAAACCCAACTTGCAAGGCCCCCTCCCTCCCATTGTTTACCCAGCTCCCCCCCCACCCGCCAGCCCCGTTGGTTACTGCGGCACCCAGCGCCTCAACCTTGCCATCAAGCTGCTAGCCTGCTAGAGGGGTACCTATCGTCCCTCACAATCTATTAGGAAACAAAAGTACCCTGCTAAAGCTCCGACGACAAGCTTTCGTCGCATCGCTGCATCACCTGGCGTCTGGACGGACGGACTCTGCATCCTCCGTCCTGCGCTGCGTCCTGCTCACCACTCCTCATCGCCCTCCTCCTCCTCCTCCTTTCCTCCTCCCTCACCTAGATATTCTTATCTCTTCGCCATTCTCTTGTACATATCCGACCACGACAGAATCAATATTTTCTCCCAATCCGTATCGCTTGGCCGAACCAAACCTTGCACTTACATGCATTCATTACCCACCCGCCTACATACACGGCTCCGTTTGTAAATAGCTGCAACCCATCGACTTCGCGACCCGGCATTCACCGCCCGACATTGTCGACGCATATTGCGGCCCGAGCCTCCATTTCACCTACATTCTCGCGAATTGGGCCTCCCCGTCTTTGTCGCCGTATTTTAGGCCCTGTCGCCTTTGCCGCACCAACAAAGAGACGCCTCTACCATCTGGAGTCCTCTGCCCTGGCCATGTCGAGGTAACACAGCGTGTGACTTCTGCTCGCGGGATACACAAGTATGCGGCCGCCTCCTCTTCAAAGTACGCCCTTGACCCTTTTTCCTTCTTTCTCCTCTTCTTCATCGTCGCTTGTCCTTCCCATAGATTCCGGTTTTAGAGCGCATTGCCTTACGCTACGCCGCCATTATGCTAACTCTACCGCCGCCTCTAGGGAACAATGCCGTCTGAATCGTCCCCGAGCGAACCTGAGCGACCGCCCCCTCCAACGACTCCCCGCAAACCTCGCAATCGCACATCACCTGAGACTCCTCGAGCAAAAATTAGAGCCAGCCCCGGAGATGCGCCCCATTCCGCTCCTGCCGCCGCTCAGGCTGGCAGGCGCAACGACTCCAAGAAACCGGAGCCTACACTTCTAACCGACTTCTTCCATGGCAGACAAAGCGCCGCCCGCGTCGCGGCTGATCGAAAGCGGCGTCAGAGCGTCGACGCCGTCAAGGCTGAGCTGCGTGCCAATATGCGCCTAGAAATGAGGCAGAGCTCCGTCCGCAAGCTGCAACAGCCTAGCGGCGTGCGCGAACGGGTGCACCATTGGCAACGCAAACACGGTACCACAATGGCCACCTCCAACCCAAACTATGCAGCCACCGAGCCTGACGACGTAGCTTTTGATGGCGAGGATCTGGAGAGTGTTACCGAAGAGGACCGCGTGCGAATCAAGATGCGTCAGAGATCGAACCCACCTGCGCCCAAATTTGTACCCAATAGACCAAACCACGATGACAACCCCGGTTCGTCTGGCCGAGACGATGCCGCAGAAGACGACGCCAGATCGCTTTCGCCGCCTAAGAAGCGTGTAGTAAGCGACTCTAATTGGATGCGCCAAAAACCCAAGAAATCTCCTCCCCGAAAGGTGACGCCTTCATCTTCCAAAGAAACCACACCGCAAATATCGAAAGCCTTTGTTCTGCACCCTACTCCAAATCCCCCCGTTTCCAGCAAGATTAAAGCTTGGGCTGCCAAAATTGAGATGCCAGACGAGTACGAATCTGGTTCTCAGGTTGGAAGCGCGGCTAGCCGCTCGACAGCCCGCTTAAAGCCCAAATACAAGCAGTTCGGTGACGATGACGGCATTCGTGTGAGTGGTTCGAATGATTCTTCCGTCGTTCGAGATGACGGAATTCGCGTTCGTCCCACCACTACTGGCTCCAATATTTCTTTCCCTGGTCAAACCTACCGTCCACCAACAGGTCGACGAAGCAAGAGCATTGCAGCCTCATCACGATCCGCTCTAAGCATAGAAGCGAGCGACATCTCGTCGCCGTCGTCAGAAGGCACGAAGAAACCTGTCCGTCGACGTAGTAAGAGCATGTCGACTGACAAGAAGGAGTCCGTCAACGATACACCAACCAAGACAGCATCGAAACGGCGTGCGAGAGGTCAAAGAGATGCCATGAGGTCATATCTCTCTGCGTCGGCGGCTGAAACGGATACGTCGTCGCACCTTGGTGATGATGTATCCAACCTTAGCAGCTCGCTGCGACCCGATTCCGACATGGACTCGAAGCTCACTGCAAAAACTCTTGCCGACAATCTCGGCGACATCCCATTTGGTCACTCTGCTTTCAGTGAGCTGGATCTCTCTGGCAGATACCGGCCCAAGAAGCTCAACGTTGATCGCAAGTCGAGCTTCAAGGGGGTCCCTCATGTCTTCAAGAAGGTTGTGGAGGAAGGGAAGAAGATCATGAAAGACATGAATGAGCCACCCAGACCACAAGCCCCAAATAAGCCCCCGAGCATTGAAAAGTGGCTCAGCACGACTGTCGATCCATTCATCGAGACTCCCAAAGAAGCGCCCGCGCCAATCATCAAAACGCATCCCGCAACAGAGGATTCTGTGACTACCCAAAACACTGCTGAATCAAAGGTGGCAACTTCTTCATCACCAAAAGAAGCTCCTCGCAAATCATCCGCCGTCAGCTCCGACGACGTCACTAGTACACTTGAAGGTTCCGAAACTCCACTACGAACTGAGACCGTTCGACGAAGGCGGGCTCATACCGTGGGAGCGCAGAAGCGCCACTCGAAGAGACACTCTCAACCGGAACAAACATCAGACATATCTTCGGCAGTTACTGACGAAACGGCAACGGAGTTGGTGGAGGAAAAAAGGGAGCCCAAGGAACACCTGCAGCATGCAAAAGACGACACAAAAGGGTCCAGCTCGATGGAACTTAAAAGAACACGTGCAAAGCGTGCCACGTCCTCGCCTCTCAGAAACAAGGAAGGCTTCCTTGGCATGTTCAAGAATGCCTTCTCCGGCGAGTCTGCGGCCTTTGCCGGACCTGGCAAGGCTTATAGAACAGAAGAGCCCCAACGACATGAGCTGCATGACCAAGAATACACCGACGACTACACCGACGGATCTGCTTTGTCTAGCAGGGACACAGAGTCACAACTTACACAATCCACTGCTAGTGATCACCACGCAAACATCCCCAGAATGGTTGCTCCCCGACACCCTCCACCCACCAAGGGACATCATGAATTGTCAACGATCATGTCCGATGACGGATCCAGTGCTGTAAGCTCGGCTCTCACAGGCTCAGATGCTACATCGCGGATCACTCAATCTACCGGGACCGAGTCAACCATCATGTCCAAGACCAGCCACGCTTCTCTCAAGAAGCAGCACAGCTTGGCCAAAAGACGAATCACCAGCCATTCCGATCTTATGTCGGTCCTTTCGCTTCCAGACCAAGCTGCTGTTCCCCAGAGCATGAAGAATAGATCTCGACCGAGTCTCCGCCGGAAGCAAGGTGTGCCAGCGGGTTTCTCCGAAAACGAACTGTTGCAAGAATTTGAAGACGATGAAAATCTTTACAACCGGGAGCTCAAGACCTTGGTCGATGGTGTCATTCCTGTTCTCCTGGGCGACGTCGTGAACAATAGTGACGCTACAACACTCTTTTCTACTGGGGGAGGAAGCCAGGCTGACGCAATTTCTAAGGCTGTTGTTGGCATGGGTGTCGCACTCGAGAAACTGAAGAATGCGCATAAAAAAGCACCACTTCAAGATATCCGTCGCCTAGCTCACTGGGCACATGGCGTTGTGCCAATGTACAACAGCTACCTCAGCGCATGGAGACTCGGCTTCCAAGATCTAGTGGTGAATCTCGCCCCCGCCTCAGGGAAGCCCGATGATGAAGACTCACTATTAGATGCGCTCCCAAGAAACGAGCACGGCGATATAATCAATGAAGACGGAGAAAGAGTTGCTGTCGGTTATTTGCTGAAGCGACCTTTGGTCCGTATCAAGCACATGACAAAGCTCATCAAATGTATCGACAGCATTATCAACAGCCAAGATACTAGTCAACTCCTGCGTGATTTTGAGAATCTGCAAGAGAAATCTCGACGCCGCCACCGTGAAGAGACGGCACGGATTGAGGACGAAGATGCGATCAATACGGATGTCACAAGATGCCGAGACATCAGAACTTTGGGGGCCATCACGCCTCCAGCCATCGACCCCCATTTGCAAGTCAATGCAAAAGACACATTTGCCCTATTTTTGGCCCACTCCAATGGACAGCGTCTGCAGTGCCGGGTCGAGCTTGTTTACCGTGACAACCCTCTTCAACCAAAGCAACCGGGCGATCTACTTATTCGTGAGCCAGGGGATGGTAAAGAAGGCAGAAAATCGTACCTCCTATTCCCGCCAATTCAGATGCATCTTTGCTCTGCCAGAACTGGCGACAGCCATTTTGACATGGCCATTATGCTCCGAGGTGTTTATGACGGCCGCGCCTGGCATGAGTTGCTGTTCTTGACGGCCGATGACGAAGATCAAATACTCGACTGGCTAGATCTTCTTCCCCTCAACCCAGTCCCTCTACGAGAACCGGAGCCAAGCGTTGTCGGTGATGATGAACCTGACAGATTTGTCGACATTCCAGTCGGGGTGCCTACAGTATCAGAATTACCTGACCGTGCGATCCCGGCTGCTGATATTTTGGCTGCTAGGCCGCAGTCTCCTCTTGTCAAATCGCCTCAGGACCCTCAAACGCCCAAAAGAGAGAGAACGGATGCCGGTCGGGACGAGGCTCAGTCACTTTCAACGCCAGAAAGCGACCACGACAAAACTCCAACTCAGCCAACATATAATGTCGAGGACTGGGACGACAGAGGCTATCGCGAGGAGGACGACTTGCTCCCCCAGCCTCTCAAAATCAAGAAAGCCTCCCCTCCGAGAATACGGCGAGATGATGAAGCTCCTCCGCCGCCAGCCCACCGCACACTTCCGCCCACGCCTGAACAACAGCAGAAGGACCCGAATCTGCTTGCACCGCCAGAGCCAACTGAGAGAATTAAGCGGCGTAGATCGTCACCTCTCAAACACGAATACCTGCCTTCCGACGCCTCGTCTGGAGGATCAAGCAGCCCTAGTCCGGAGCAGTCGGACGATGACTCTTCAGACGACGACGACATCGACAGCATGGACATACCAGAGACTGAGCTTGGTGTGAGCATCCCTAACGAAGCACACCAGTCTCAAAAGGCGGAACCAAAACACGAAAGCGTACTGTCTCAGTCAGATTATAGTATTACACCGTCCAATTCGGCTTCGCAGGCCTGTGGAGTTCACCCTCCGCGCAGCACTGCAGAACAGCAAGAGAATACTACCCGTTTTATGGCATCGCTCTCGCGATGGTCTGAGAAAGGGGCGTGGAAGGATCTCAGCAACCACCCCTGTGTTATTGTTGTCTCTGCTGGTCTTGTCGAGGCGTATGCTTTCCGCACCGATAGCGATCCGAGCAAGTCCATCAAATTAGACGAACAGCCACTGATCGCTCTTGACCTCACTCCGCTTGTGCTTATCAGACAAAGCACAGCTTTGGATTTAGAAGTACGATCGTCGGTTCAAATGCACTCGCGCCTATATGAGAAGTGCAACGGTGGCAACTTTCGCTTCAGATGCCACAGCGCACCTGAGTGCTTTGCGTTGTACATGGCAGTCCACCAAGCGCGCCTCAGCAATCAAAAATTCATCCAGTTGGAGAACGAGGCGCGCTTCAGAGGGTTTGGAGAGAGGCACGAGCCTGAAGAAGATGACCGAGCTGGACGGCGCCGTAGTTGGTTCGGTCGCAAGAATAGCTACCGCAGCTCGCCGAGAAGTGCAGCCCGCTCTCAGGACGGAGAGAGCGCCGCGCACTCATCAACACCCTCAGCAACCAGCTTCCTTAAGCGGCTCACTCAATCCGGGAATTCCGCGTTCAGCCTCGAGCATTCCTCCATCGACCGCCAGAGCCGTGGCGGCAGCGGCCGAAATAGCTTGTACACGTCTGGTTCCTCCTCGGCGAGCGGCGCTTCACCTCGCTCGCCATCTGTCAGCACTGGTAACACTCCTGGACACCGCGGCTCCATGGATGCTGAGAACATTCGAATTCGACTGCATCTCCTGGTCTCGTCTACGAAATGGGAGGACTGCGGCAACTGCATTCTCAAGATCCGCAGACCCCCTCCCGGTTGGCACCAAGCACTCCTTGCCGACCACGGACTGGAAAAGCGCATCACGGTGCAGTCCCAACCAAAGAAGGATGATGAAGAGCCCAAGGTATTGCTCGACGCAGTCTTGGGCAGTGGTTGCTTTTCCGCAATGGGAAGTCGTGGAATCGTCTGCGGCATCTGGGAAGAGGTGCAGGGGGCCAACGGCGTGGTTGGCATGGTCCCTGCGAAGAGCAACCCTGGCGGTAAGATCAAGAAGTGGTGTTTCCAGCTGTCTACGGCTGCAGAAGCTAATTGGGTGCTGCGAATGGTGCACCAAGAAGTTGTTCGCGCATAACATGCTGCTGAACGTGGCTGTGCCTTTTACTCTCCTTTTTTTCTTTTTTTTTTCTTTTTTTCGTGACCTGTGTGTCCTTTACATTTCTTTGTCGTTGACCTGCGCTATGATATCCCGTACATACTGTTTTGTTGTGTTCTCTCTTGTCTACTGGTATCTCTACGGCGAAAGAGCCGCTTTGATGATGTCCATGTTATTTTACATAGATGTGGTTCGGATATTTGGACGGTAGAGTCATGGTTTTGGCGCGTGTGGCTATAATTCAAAAGTGCGGGGGGTGGTGTACATTTAGACCCAGAGAGGATCGCGGATGTAGTGACATGACCTGTCGATAGAATAAGATGTATCTATTATACCAATGGCCCTGCTCCACCGTCTATGTTGTCGTTTTCTTTTAAAAAGCCTTCGGTGTGTTCATACAACCCCCCACAGCCTGTTCCCGCGATGCTTCCCGGTTGGGCAACCCCGCCCCCACCATCCCACCAACACGGTTCTTCCTCCGGCCATCCATCCATTCATTCATCCACCGTCATCTGCACCACTTTGAAGAAACAAGAGCAATTCAGAAGAAAGGGAGTCTCTTCCCCTCCTCCTCTCTTCCCACTCCTCAACTCTCATTCTCTCTCTCTCTCTCTCTCTCTCTCTCTCTCCGTCTCTAGCAAAAAAAAAAAAGGCAGTCCAGGAGGAAAGGAATCCTCCCCACCTCCCCATTCTCTTTCCCCCCCTCTTCCTCAACGCTCTCTTTCTCTCTTCCTCAAAATGGCCCCCGTGCCGCTCGAAGTCGCCGTCTTCTCCGTCGCCGACGCCCTCCTCAGCGCCTCCCTCGGCGCCTCGCGCATCGAGCTCAACCACCCCGGCAGCTACCCCCTCGGCGGCCTCACCCCCCCCGCCTCCGCGCTCTCCGCGCTCTCCGACCTCCCCATCCCCGTGCGCGTCATGATCCGCCCCCGCGGCCCCCCTCCTCCCCCGGACCGCACCCCGGATTTCATCTACACCGCCGCCGAGGTGGACGCCATGCATGCCGCGATCGCCCAGCTGAAGCCCGCGATGGACGCCCGCCGCGGGGACGGCTTCGTCTTCGGCGCGCTGACGCGGGACGGGCGCGCGGTGGAGGAGCAGGTCTGCGCGGCGCTGGTGGCCGGCGCGGCGCCGTTTGCGTGTGTGTTTCACAGAGCGTTTGACGGACTGGCGGATCTGCAAGGGGGAGTGGAGGTGTTGGGGAGGTGCGGCTTCGCGGGGGTGTTGACGGCGGGAGGCGCGCGGGGAGGCGCGCCGGAGAACGTGCAGAAGCTGGGGGAGGTGTGCGAGGCGGCGAGGAGGAAGGGCGGGTTGGAGGTGGTGGCGGGAGGAGGCGTGCGGCACGGCAACGTCGCGACGGTGGTACGCGGACGGGGTGGCGCGGCGCCGGGGTGGGTGCACTCGGCGGCGCTGAAGCCGGACGGGACCGGGCTGGACGAGGATGAGCTGCGGAGGCTACTGGCAGCGCTGGCGAGGGAGGACGAGGCGTGAACAGAAAAGAAGGAAGAAGTCAAACATGGACCGGGGCATACATAAAGGTGTTTTATACAAAAGTTGTGTTTAGAAAAGTCGCAGATGGAGGGACACATTTTGCATCAATACAGAAAAGCACAGTCTATTACTTCAAACAGCCCAGTTTACGCCCCTCAACCCCTAATTATACACCCAAAGCATTCTTTTCTTCGTCAATGTATATACATGTGAATGAAATCTCGGCATGCAGAAACCACCAAAACCACATTCTTCGTCAATCCCGCCTCATGGAGAGTGAACCACCACTCCTCTACGGGCTGGGCTTGGGAATAGCACAGGCAGGGGGGTTAGTGTGCCCCGGAAGAGCCGTGGTGGTGCTCGTTCCATTGCCGGCCGGACGGGGCGGCGTGCCGGGCTGGTGACGCGCGAGACCGAGACACGTCGCAATCTTGTAAAAGACGTCGACGTTGCCGTAGGTGCCTCCGAAGAGGTCCTGGCAAGGACCCCAGGCGTAGACGGGCACGTCGGTCAGCGAGTGGACACCGACGGCCTCGTCGGTGTGGAAAGTGCCGTTGACGACGAAGCCGTCCGGGCTGTCACTCGGGTTGGCGTAGTACTCGTCGCCAATCTTGACCGTCGGGTTGCGGGGGCCCTTCTTGTGGACCTTGAAGTTCTCGCGAATGTCCGGGTGCGCGGCGACGCCACCAGCAATGGCGTACCGGGGCTCCCAGTTGGTCGGGAAGTTGGCTCCGGTGCCGTAGGTCACGCCGTCGGCCTTTTGGTACTGCGAAAGACCCGACTTCTCGTAGGTGCCAATGGCGCGGCGCTTTCCACGCTGGTCAGGCTGCTCCGCCAGGTACTTGGTATCGGCAGAACCGTAGACACTGCAACTGGGTTAGTAATGGTAACTGTTGACAAGAACCTGAATAACTCACTCGAAGCCGTGGCCGTGATCAGCGGAGACAAGAACAAGAGTCTCGTCGCGGATGCCAAGCTCCTCGAGCTTCTTGATAGTGGCGGCGATAGCGTCGTCCATCTCCAGGAGCTCGCCCAGGGCACGGTCGTAGTCAAGCGTGTGCATCTGCTTGTCAATGGACGCACCCTCCGACATGAGGAAGAAACCCTTCTCCTTGCCACGAGTGGCGAGAATCTCAACGGCCTTGACGGTCATCTCCTTGAGGCCGGGGATGTCGGTGGCGGAGCTGTTCTTGCCCAAGGGGTCGTTGGTCACCTTCTTGATGTTGTCCTTGTACACGTTGCGGTCCAGCCAGACGGGCAGAACGCCCTGGCAGAAGACACCGAGCGCGCGCTTGGTCTTGTCGACGGTCTGGAGGGCCGTGTTGTTCAGGCTGATGGTGTAGCCCTTCTTGGCAAACTCCTGGTAGTAGTCCTTGCCCTTGTAGGAGCCCTTGCCGGGGTAGAACTGCTCAGCACCGCCACCGAAGAAAACATCGGGGCCGTTGTTGGCGGTCCAGGTCCAGTTGGTGACACCGTTGAGGGCCTGGTCGATAAGAGCGCCATACTCAGCGCGCTTGCGGGTGTGGCCGGTGAGGGCAATGGGAGTAGCATCGGCAAGGAAGGCGGTAGAAACGGCACCCCAAGCACCACCCTGAGGCTGTCAGTACATGTTGTTTTGCGTTAGCATGTGTGAAACTTACCCAGACACGCTGGAAGATTTCGACAATGGTCTCAACCTTGGGGTCGTCAAAGGCATCGGCGGAGGAGTCGACGTGTACACTGCGATTTGTTAGCTTCGTCCAAGTCTAGTGGCTGGGCGATTCGTACCCCATGGCATTGACAGTGCTCTTGTGGCCGGTGTAGAGAGCAGAAGCAGAGTTGGCAGAGTCGGTAATGTAGGAGTCGAGGGAGTGCGTCATCTGGTGACCAAGCACGGGGAACTGGTCCATCTTGAGGACGGACTGGTACTTTCCGTTGATGCTCTTGTGTCCCAGCAGACGGGCGGCAGTGATCTAATGCATCTGTTAGTCATGCGCAATTGCATGATGATGCGCTTTGACTGCCTGCTACGTACCATGTTGGTGGTCATGCCATCACCAATGAAAAAGATGACATTCTTAGCCTTGCGCTCCTTGGAAATGTCGCGGACAATCCAGTTGGCAGTCGTCTTGTTGCCGTTGTAGTAGTCGAGGACGACCTTGTAGCTGCCGGGCTCGTAGAGGGCAATGCTGCGGTAGGCCTTGGCGGCGACGTTTACGACGGAAGGAGTTTTGGCGTCCTCGGCGTAGAGATCCTCAAACCACTTGAACTGCCACTTCTCGAGCTTGGGCTCGGAAATCTTGAAGGCCTGGGCAAAGTCCTTGGGCTGGCCGCCCTCCTTGGTGATGGTGACCTTGAAGTTCTCGTCAGGCTTGCCGTTGTGGGCGGCCTCGGAGCCGTTGACGGGTGCGTGGACCTCAACACGGAGGTCAAACAGCTGGCCCGGAAGGAAGTCGCTCTGGTCCGGGGGCAGGACACAGCCGAGATCGGGGCAGCCGCCGAGGCGCTGGAAGGTCTGCGCAGAGGCCTGGCCGATGGTGGCGGCCGCGACGAGGGCGGCAGCCGTGTTGAGCTTGACAAGCATGGTGGTCAAAGAAGCTCTCAATCGAAGGGAATGTAGACTGGGTTCCTTAAGGCTCGGACCAAAGGTGACACAGCTCGAAAGCAAGAGCTGAGAGGAGGAGGGCGAACGCAGTTTATATGCTTGGCAAGCCTACCCGACTCGGCGATGATTGGCGGTTTTCCACGGCCCTGAACCGGGTGCCGTACGGAACTAGCGAGCTTGAAAGCTAGGATAAAGCTAACTAGAAACGAGGAAACGCCATCGAATGTCGCGCCGGAGGCTCGGTGTCGCAAAGATCAGCACGTTGACAGGCAAAGGCAGTTCGAGAAGTCTTGGCCTGTGGATGCTTTTCCCAAATAGCGTCGTCCTCCGATAGAGCAAAAGCTGTGGAGTGGGTGTAAAATTTTGTCTTTTCTGCAGTGGCTGCGCTGCGCGGTCTTGTTCGAGTGACTCTACAAGGATATGCAAGGCCGCTCTCAGCTGGTGAGCCCGTTCATCATCAAGCAAGACAGCCACCACGTGTGTGCGCCACGACCCATTTGGCCGGACATTGCGAGTTAGCGGCGGCGGGCTGGAGTATCTGGGGGAGTGGAGATGATTGCATTGAGCGAGCCCGGAAGGCGAAAGATATCGGCAAAGGCCGTTTGTCTGGACTACGGGCTGGTTTGGTGTGGTGATGTTGGTGGGAGGAAGAAGAAGCAGGTGGACGAGGGGGTGACTGTGGCTTGAGCTGGGGCTGGGCTGGGCTAGACCAGGGCGAGCCGGGACCGAGAAGAGGCTTGAGGGCGATGCTCTCAGGTACTTTTGAGCAAACAATGTATGGTGGTTAGGTGGCCATCGTGCGCAAAAGTACCTGCACAACACTAAGGTTATATGGAAGGTTATTCTGAATGCTTGCTTTAGCGTCCCCATAGCCGTCCTTGGCGCTCTTCTCGTTGATGAGATCCAAGCCTCGTGCGCCGAAGCTGGATCATCATTGGCGCGCAATGAATTTGGTGGGGTTGCGGTGTTTGTGAAAGGAACAGGGTTCTGGCTTTGAAGAGATTATCTTTACTTTTTGGTGTATTTTTGCCGTTGCGCAGCCTATATTGTGCTATCAATCATGTAGTATTCAAGCCAGCACCAAACAATAGGCGAAGATAGTCGTAGAAGAAGGAAAACAAAAACCGTCATGAACAAGATGACCTCTTTCAAGGAAATTAAAACACCATATCGGACAACCACTCATGACCCCGCGACACAGCTACCTAGTCATGAGCTTCATGTCACGCATGAATCGGCATTACAGTACCGCCGCGACAGACATCGCATATCGTGGCGTGCGTTAACCCACATCTCACCAGTCCTCCTCATTTCGCTAGTCTGTCCATTTCCGCGACCGAGCTGAGTTGAATTCCCGTTCTTTTTGTCGACTTTCCGACCATTCCTACATATCACCCAGGACGGAAACCTGGGCAAGCCACCGTAGCCACCGCCCTCCCGCGACCGGCTTTTGACCGGAAGCGCGAAATAATTGAAGCCAAGCCTTCTGGTCAATATAACCCAAGAGAGTAGAGGTTTATCGAATGAGTAGGTCGCAACCCGAGAGATGGCGCCATCATGTCCACGTAGTAGCTCTGGCAAGGATGGGAGTCGGGTTCAGGAGCAACCAATGCAACACTAGAAACGCGGATGCGCCCAGGGTTTGGGACGTCAACTGGCTCTCTTCATCCGCGGACAAGAACCGGAAGCTCCCTATTGGGAGAAGCTAAGCTGTGTTGGCGGTTGTGTCCGACGACAGACCTTGCACCCACGTGCTGATAGACGACAGCCTCGCAAGCTTCAGCTCGATCCCCCCCAAGAGGAGAGGAGCTAGTCCGAGTCTTGTAACTTGCTCTTCTTACACATCGCTCGGTCTGATGTGTTTGTTGATATCATCGACTGCGGCGCGCACCAGCGCGAAGTTCCTTTCCACCCATCGTCGGTCCTCCTTGTCCGCGTCCGCCGCCACCTTGCCGTCCTTCGGTCCCCAGACAAGCTTTTGCCGGGTGACTTGAGTCACCGAGGGACAAACGTTTCGGTTCGCACTCGAGCCCACCGAAGAAGAAGCCGTACTTGATTCGCTGCCCGGGGTCGAAGCATAGGACTGCATCAGCTTCTCCAGCCACAGGTCGCGACGCGTCGCAGGCGCCAGAATCCCGTCCATCCAGCTCGTCACGCGGCCCTCCCGGAGCGCCAGCACCGCGCCGACCATGGGCACGCGGCCGCTAAACTCACACGCGAACGCCCTGATGCCCACACCCTCCGCGCGCAGCCACCGCTTCGCCAGGCGGTCGTCCGAGTACGCCACGGCGTCGAGCAGCCAGGCCGCAAGCACCAGCACCAGCAAACCAACGCCGTCCCAGCCCTTCTGCGCCGCGACATACGTCATCGTGGCGAGTTGCAGCGCCGCGAGCGCGCGCAACAGCGCTGCGATCGGCGCCGACGCGTCGACGCGGCCGAGGAGCGACTTGTTGAGGAGCCAGTCGACGACGCCGCGCTCGCCGACGTAGAGGTACCAGGTGCTCGCATTCTCGTGGACAGCGGCGAGCATGCAGGCCCGGTTCTGGCTGGGCTCGTTGCTCTGCAGGTAGCCGTCGGGGCGCGTGACTTGGATGGTGAGCCGCAGGACGCGAAACGCGGCGCTTATGAGAAACGCCATGGTGGTGCCGTACAGACCCATCAGAATCATCGGAGCGCATAGACCGAGAAGAGACAGTAAAACTGCGGCTTCGGTGGCGGCTTGTAGATGTCGCTGAATTAATCGGCCTGCTTTAGACGTGCCATCGGGCTTCCCAATCTCGTCAATCGTGCAATCGAGGATATAGAGCGTCTGGGGGCGGCTGAACCCCTTGGAATTTGCATTGTTGTTGGAGTTCGTCGTGGTCTCTCTAGGAAATGTACTGGCCTCGTCTTCGGCTGCCATATCGTCTTTGATAACGTATTCTGGGAGCAGCTCCCTCAAGTTGATTCGGATGGGAATCTTGACCGCGGTACGGATCGCATGCTTCGTCAGGATCATACTCGCAGCGCCGTTGGCACAAGGAAATATACTGCCAAAGTCGACATGCCACACGGTGCGATGTAGCTCGCTCACCGACGAGGCGCGGTCTAGGTAGTCGGGCCCTTGGCGCAGCAGGGTGGCGATGCCGTCCAGGACGCCCAGACGCGGGAACAGGCTCGCCACGACGCGCCCTGCCAGCGCAGTCCGACCTACCAGCCGATGCGAAAGCCCGGCCTGCGCGAGGTATATTGTGAGCGGGACCAGGGCTACCCATTCAAAGATCACACTGGCTGAGGACGAGGCGACGCCGATGACAGGGGGGTCAAGACGGTTGGTACCGAAACTGGCCGGTTTCTCAGCACTCATCTTTCCAGCGGAATGTATTCACAAGAGAAACAGTCAATATACTCCGAGAGTTTAATATAGAGCTGTGAGATATTTTGCACAGCTGGTGATTTCTGCTGAAAAGGGGCCGCATATACGAGCAATCACATGAGCTACGCGCACATAATCATGGCAGCATTTTCACAACGGCCTACGAAGGTTAACAAGATTTTATATAATTTAGCGAATATATTAAGCTAGAGAGTAAAATCTAAATGATTCTACATAGTTTTCGGTACACAGAAACCCGATTCGCTTCAGTGAATCTTGTCCGTTAGGCTGACTGATATCTCGCGGCCATGCGTTGTCTCGTTGTCTCAATTTCAGCCTCACTATCAGCCGCAAATAGGGGGTTGCGGCAATTTATGCTTCTAACAAAAGTCTTCTTTTATTTCATTTAATCGTGCGATAAAACACACCAACAGCAACACCTTTCCCGCTCTAGCAGGTGACTCCCGCTATCATGAGGCTCATTCATACAGAATCACTCGAGCTGTACGAACATGGCGAGCATACAAAAAACGGGGAACCCCTCCCTCCCTACGCTGTGCTGTCCCATATTTGGCTCGAGGAAGGACCAGAAGGCGTGAAGGAAGTTGTCTACCAAGATATGAAGAATTCATTTCTGGCGCTCAAGCATGGGAGGCTTAAACCAAAGGGCTGGTCAAAGCTAGCTCACTTTTGTGCTCGTGCGAGGAAGGATGGCTGGGAATGGGCATGGATGGACACTTGCTGCATCGATAAGACCAATACCGGCGACACGCAGGAAGCTATCAATGCCATGTTTCGCTGGTACCGGGCTGCCGCTGTCTGCTACGCCTACCTTGCAGACGTGGGCGATGAAGTAACGGGGTCCGACCTGGCAAAATACCCCAATATACCGCCGAGAAACTCGAATCTACCATTGCAATCGGCCGGTTCACCAACGACTACTCACAATCCACTCTCATCAACCCCCGGCTCCTCCTTAACAACCATCAGCTTACCATCTCCAAGCCTCAAATATGACCGAGACGTAATCGGTCCGCGTCTTGCTGAATCCAGGTGGTTTACTCGAGGCTGGACACTACAAGAACTTCTTGCTCCACGCTATTTAATATTTGTTGATTGTCACTGGCACCAAATTGGAACGCGTGAGAACTGGGCGGGGGTGATTGAAAGCAAATGCGGAATTGAGGCTCGTCAGTTGATTGACTTTCAGCCCGCTGACACCTTCTCCTGCTCACTAGCAAAAAGACTATCTTGGGCTGCCAGGCGTGAAACGACAATCGAAGAGGATGAGACGTATTCTCTTCTTGGCCTTTTTGGTATCAGCCTACCACTGGTGTATGGCGAAGGAAGAGAAATGGCGTTTGCTAGGTTTCAACAGGAGCTGGTACGAATTTATGACGATGATTCTATATTTGCGTGGGAGGTAGTGAGGTGGAAAGGCACATTGGGCCGTCCCTATACCAGCGTGACTTTTGGTAAGATACTTCGAATTCTACCTATGGACTGACGAATCAAACTGTGTACTAAATCTCCGATAATTCAGACCAGACGAACAAGAGGTTCGCGCCAATCCTAGCGCCCTCGATTCAATTCTTTGCAAACGCTTCAAACATAACCCGCCTACCTAGCCACTCTGATACATTTTCCATGACAAACAAAGGCTTGCGAATTACCGGCACGTTTTCGACAGTCGTCCCGGCTTGTGACTTCAAGCTGGGTGGTAGGTGCAATCCGGGCTGTACTTGGTTCGATCCCAGTTACACTTTTTCTTGTCTCTTCTTGAACTCGAGCGACATTATTGGCGAAGGGCCCTCGTCAATAAAGCGAATCGGCATACCCGTTATTTTGAACGACCTTGGCTCTTACCAGAGATGCAATGATAGACTTGTCTACACTTATATGAGTGAACAACTTGACGAAGGAGGAAGAAAGTTTGATCCTGAGTATGTCTACTCAGACACCGAATGCGGCCACCGGGGCGAGAAAGGAGAGCGAAAACAACCTAAGGAATCGTGCGATCATGCTTTACTGGGCGACTTAATGGAACACGAAACCATCACTATCAGATCTGAATATTCATATCAGTGGGCGTATGCTTTCGCCTTGTTCCCGTCATGGCCTAAGCTTCGCATCGAGTACCCCGAGTCAAAGATGAAGATTGTCACGATATATGAAGCTTGCGGGCATCCGCTTCCTCGAGGCGAAACAAAGCCTAGTGTCATGGGATACTTGGGCTGTCGGACAGGGCTGCTTACGAATCTCGGCACGTCGGAAGTATCCGCGGACGTCTTGAGCTCCGTCAAGGAGATGTCACTGCTACCAGATTCGGTGTATTGCATCGAGTTTCAGATCAAAGGGTCGCCACGGGGAGCGTTTGTGGTCATCGTAAGCTTGACGCGGCACTCGACCCTCTTGGCATCGATCCAGAGGCGGGAAGATGTCAACTTGGAGATGGGTGTTCGAGATACGATGATCGAAAACGTACCTGGAATCACGGAACAAGAGATTGTGGGTGGCACCATTCGTATCCAGACACGCCCCCTTCAAAATTCAGCGCTGCCGGAGCGCACACCGGTGCCGCTTGACTACCTGAATTACGTACTTGAGGTCGCGGTGGTCAGGAAGGGCAGTCGAGGCAACAATGCTGAACCCTCCAACGCAAAGAAGCGAAAATATTCGTCTGATCAATGAGATTCCAGGATTGAGAAGATTGTCTTTACAGATTCAACAGCCAGGTAATGAGAGAACGTGTTCTTGTTGTGAGGGCTTGTCAATGGACGTCGGTTGTAGGGTGCGTCACGGCGCGTTGCGTCTGGGGGCGGCATTTAGCAGTGATGTGCATGAGACTCCTTCCTTGGTCAAATCAGTTATTGAAATGGTACTTGTTCTTTATTTATTGTGTTGGTTCAATCGCAATATCAAACCCGCCCATCTAAGTAATAACTTGTTTCCTTCTGCTTCGCCAGATACAGACAGTACTTCAGGGTAGAAAAGGCGCCCCACCCACTGAGGTTGGGAGAAAATTCGAGATGCCGCTTTCCCTCGCCAAGCTGACCTCGTCCACCCAGATCCCCATCCACAGCCAGCCTACCAATAAATAATGATCCCTGCGGATGCTAGCCAAACTGAGGGTGTAGAAATGGCCGCCTCCCGCGCGCTCTTCACCTCCTCAGCCGCCGTCCCAGGCACCGCCGCCCGACTCGGCCGGCTGGCCCTCCCTGGACGCGCCGCCATCGATACGCCCAACTACACCTCCGTCGCCAGCCGCGGCGCCGTGCCGCACCTCACCCCAGACAACATGACCAGATACCTGCCGCCGGGACCCGTATACATGGCGCTAGAAGATTGTAATGCTCACTTCCCCCTCCCCTTCCCTGCCCATCAACCGCATCCGCTAACCTACGAGGTGACGCAGTCATTGAGAAGAAGCAGCCCCCCATATACAAGACGCCCGTGACCACCAGGGAGGACCGGCTACACAGCTTCACCGGGCTACCGCTGGACAGCGCCACCATCATGGCCGCCCGCCGCAGCCAGTCCGTCACCACGCCGACGGGCAACACCGCCAAGTCGGTCACGCTCTTCACCTCCACGGGCTTCCGCAGCCTGACCGTGCCCGAGTACGCCGAGGCCGCCGCGCTGCTCGCCCCCGACGTCGTCGTGCCCCTGGCCGACCTGCTGCACACGAGCGCCTCGCCGCCGTCCAAGAAGCTCGTCCGCATGGTGGAGCGGACCGAAGACTGGGTGGACCAGTTCCTCGAGGCCACGCAGCATTCACCCGGCACCTCACCGCGGCCCAGCGCCGTGTTCGCGCCGGTGCTGGCCGTCGAATACCCACTGCAGTGGTCGTACCTGCAGCACCTCGCCGAGGACCTCGTCGGCTCGCTCTCCGGCCTGGCCGTCTACGACACGAAGCTGCTCGCTGACCTCATCCCCAACTACGCGCCGCTGCGCCCGCTGCCCCGGTTGTCCCTCGAGCCCCCCAAGACGCCGCATGACGTACTCCGGCAGGTCGCCCTCGGCGTCGACCTCTGCGTGCTGCCGTTCATCAACGCCGTCTCCGACTCCGGCGTCGCCTTCACCTTCACCTTTCCCCCTCCACCTGCAGACACCACGCCGCGGCCGCTGGGCGTCAACATGTGGTCCGAGGAGCACGCCACCTCGCTGGAGCCGCTGAGCCCCGGCTGCGCGTGCTACGCGTGCGCGGCGCACCACCGCGCGTACCTGCGGCACCTGCTCAACGCCAAGGAGATGCTGGGCTGGACGCTGCTGCAGGTGCACAACCACTACGCGATGGGGCGCTTCTTTGAGGGCGTGCGCGCGGCGCTGCAGGATGGCACGTTTGGCGAGGCGGCGGCGCGGTTCGCGGCGGCGTACGAGGCCGAGTTCCCGGAGGGCACGGGTGAGAGGCCCCGCGCGCGGGGGTACCACTTCAAGAGCGAGTACGGGCAGGAAAAGATCAACAAGACGACGTGGATTGACGTCGAGGCGACGCTGGCGGCGCAGCCGGAGTCGGAGGCATGAATAAGCATGGGTAGGGGAGTTTGGGTGCATAAAGCGATCGTTTTTGCATTGTTGCATATAGCTAAAAGCAAGGGAATAAATCTTGGAGTTGGTTTTTCTTGCTATGGACCTCTGCTAATAACGCAGTATTGACGCCGTAGAGTACGTATCGGATGGGAACGGCGGTCGTCCGTTTGTTCAGGGCGGCGGCTAAAAACGCAGCAAGGGTCCGCTGGTTCAATGGTGTTCTACGGCACCTACCAATCCTGCCACTACTGCCCGCATTCTCCGGTCCTGATAGTAGGCGGGGAAGCGAGAGCAGTTGTATTGCAGAGAGTCAAGATTTTGAAATGGGCCTGATCGTGTCCAGGGAGTTCCTTTGTCGTATCCGCATGCTTGATAGAACAGGGCTTGCTTGCGAGGGTTGAGAGCTCATCCTAATGAGCCAAGATCAATGTCGGTGTGAAAAAAAAAGGAAATCATCCCTATCTCAAGGGAGAGTTGACGCGCTGCGGCTCCTCTGGTCTAGACCAGAAGCGGCTGTCTCAGGGAGGTGCCAGATATAGAAACGAGATGTCTGAGGACAGATCTCGGCTCATCTCGTCCGTGACAAGTGAGTCAAAGAAACGGGTCCTGGCGATGAAGAAGGGGCCTCAGGCGATTTGGGTTCGGTAAAGATATTGTCGTTTTGACCGTGAAAGCCCAAGTAAAAAACTATCGGAAAAGATGCGATGGATAAAGATGCAAATAGGCTGATGAGTTGATATTGTCCACGTAAAGAAAAGTCCAAGCCCCACTGCCACAGCCAAGCCGCAACTAGACCAACCCGTTTCTCCCCACCAACCGAATTGCTCGGCCGAGCCCAGCCAAGCAAGCCCAGGCCCAGCCTGGACCTGTCATGCCTCATTGCATGTCGTATTCCCCCGATCCCTTCTAACTTTTCTCCCTTTCCATCTTCCAATCCGAGCACTACACCGTTGTTGTATTTATTTTTATCGTCCCCCTTGTACGCCATGGCTGCTGCATCATGATTGATGGGCGCGACGACGACGACGAAAACAGACCACTCATGGCCAACCACCACGACGATGAGGCCGGCGGGCGCGGGCGCCTTCACACCGACGGCACCTCCAAGAACACATTGACGTCGACAACTGTTACGCCCGAGGACGCCTCGTCCAGTGCTGCATCAGCCCTCTACCACACCAATCGCGACGACGGCGACACGCCCCTTCCTCGCTTCCTCCGCGACCAGCAGCAGCAGCAACAAGACTCCAACAACGACAGCGATGATTCGTCCCGGCGCGGCCGCAAGTGGCCGACCTGGGTCCCCTATCCCGTCGAGCGCACCGCCCGCGCCGTAGCACAGTGGACACGCGGACCGCCCGACGCTCAACCCTACCGAATCCGGCCCTTCCTGCCCGCCGTGCAAGAATTCCCCCTCCGCGCCATGGACCGCTTCCTCCCCGGCCGCCGGCGTCGCCGTTTGCTGCTCTTCCTATACCTTGCCGTCTGGGTCGTCGCCTTCGCGCTGCTCAAGCGCCAGGAGTACGTCGCCGGCGAGATTGCCGGCGGCTGGGGTCGCCCGCAGGCCATCGGCTGCGGCGCGGCGTACTTTTCCCGCAGCAACCTGTGCGGCCTCGACGGCGCCGACTGTCGGCCGTTCAACGGCAGCTCGCTGGCGTTCCGCTGCCCGGCCAACTGCGCGAGCTACCGCGTGCTCAACCCGCGCGCCGTCGGCGACCAGGAGGTCGTCTACCGGCCGCTGATCGTCGGCGGGCCGACGACGGACCTCGACCCGATCGGCTCGACGCTGTACCGGGGCGACTCGTACATCTGCGGCGCGGCCGTGCACGCGGGCGTCGTGTCCAACACCAACGGCGGCTGCGGCGTCGTGCAGCTCGTCGGCCGCCAGCAGGGCTTCGTCGCCTCGGACCGCAATGGCATCGCCAGCGTCGCCTTCGACTCGTACTTCCCGCTGTCCTTCCGCTTCGTCCCCGTCAACTGCCACGCCACCGACGAGCGCTTCGCCATCCTCGCGCTCTCCGTCGCCTTCACCACCGTCCTCGGCCTCGCCACCGCCTCGCCCGCCGCCTTTTACTTCCCCGCCTTCGTCGGCGCCTTCTGGACCGTCGGCATGGCCACCGACGCGCCCTCCTACGCCACCGCCGGCGCGCTCTTCTCCAACATCCTCGGCAAGTTCGTGCCTGCCATGTTCACCGGCTGGGTCATCTACGACAAGATGGGCGTGCGGCGCACGCTCGCCGGGCTGACCGCGCAGGTGGAAAAGGTGGTGCTGTGGCTGGGCGCGTGCTGGGTCGGCGCGCTGGAGAACTACACGCTCGACTTCATCCCCATCCAGCGGCTGAGCGCGCACGACCTCGCGCAGCAGCCCGGCGCGCGCGCGGCGCTCGCCGTCATCGTCATCGCGCTCTTCTTCATCGTTCTCTACCAGGCGTGGTGCTTCCGGCAGGAGGCGCGCTTCAACCGCTACATCAAGCTGTACGCGCTGCTCCTCGCCGGCATCCTGCTGTCGCTGGCGCTGCCGGGTTTGAACCTGCGCATCCACCACTACGTGCTCGCGCTGCTGCTGCTACCCGGCACGTCGATGCAGACGCGCCCGGCGCTGCTCTACCAGGGCCTGCTCGTCGGGCTGTTCATCAACGGCATCGCCCGCTGGGGCTTCGGCTCCTTCCTCGAGACCGACGCCGCGCTGCAGAACGACGCCCAGCTCGGCAGCCTGCTACCCAGCGTCGGCGCCGCCCCGGCCGTCGTGTTGGGCAACGCCGGCAACGCAGGCGCGCGCTCCAACATCACGTTCGCGTGGGACCTGCCACCGCGGGACGAGTACGACGGCATCAGCATCCTGGTCAACGACGTGGAGCGCTACCGCGCGTACTTTGACGATACGGACGCGCCGGCAAGGGAGTACACGTGGACGCGCAACGCCAGCCTCGGCCTGCCGGAGTACTTTCGATTCGGCTTCATGGCGGACAGCACCGCGGGGGATTACACCAAGGCGGGCGTCTGGAGCAAGGACGGTGAATGGACTCACATGGCCGCGGGCCCGTCTAGATGAGGATAAATTATGATACGTATACACTAGAAGACGTGACTCTTCACGTAATTAGATGTAGTTATGACATTTCGGGTAGAGCGATATAGGGCAAATCTGGTAGAGGACAGCACAGCATACAACTACCGCCCAGATTAGAGGCATGATTTAGATGGGTTTGAAATCGACCTTGGCTTCATATACACGCATCTGTATTCCAATACGCTCGCTCAAGCCCGTGCTGCCTACATTTCCTCACCGTGTCCCGGCTGTAGCATGTCCGCCAGCACATCCCACCGCGCCGCGTCCTCGCCGCTCACCGCGCTCGCGACGCTCCGCAGCCCGCCGCATATAAACCGCAGCAGCCGCGCAAAGTCCGACCTGATCTGCCTCAGCACGATCCCGTACGCCTCGCCGCTGCCCCCGCCGAGCGTGGCCCGCGCGTGCCCCAGCCGCACCGCCAGGTCCAGCAGCGGCCATCATGCCGTCGACGTCCGGCGCGGCGCGGAGCTCGCGCCGCATGCGCGCCGTCTGCGGGACCAGCACCACCGTCGCGACGTACGTCTGCAGCGCGTCGACGAACCAGAGCAGGCCGGCGCGGGCGGCGTAGAAGAGGCCGCGGGCTTCGAGGGCCGCGTCGTCGGCCGCGTGCTCGGAGCGCAGGTCGTCGCGCAGCTGCCGGGTCGCCCCGCGGAGGGCGTGCGCGGCGCGCTTGATCTGCAGGAGGAAGGTGAAGACGGCCTGGTAGTGCGCGGCGCTCGGCACGTCGAGGATCATCTGCACGGGCCACTCGGGCCGGTAGGCGATGCGGATCAACGGCAGCGCGGCCGCGACGGAGCCGCGCGCCTCCGTGGCGGACACGTGCCGCCGCTCGCCGTCGACGCTGACGGAAAGCCGGCTGGCGTCGACGGTCCCGGCAAAGGCCTCCTGGGCGGACGTCGTGAGCGCGCGGCGGTTCTGCCACTGGGCGTCCTTGGCGTCGAGCTTGGCGAAGAGGCGCTCGCAAAATGCGGCGGCGGCGGCGCCGTCGGACATGAGGTAGACGGCGTGGTAGGCACGCAGGGCGTTCTCGAAGCCGCAGTCATCAAAGAGGGCTGCTTTCAGGGTCGCGGAGACGGCCGTGTACTTGCGATCAATCCACTGGCCGAGCGCCGCGTCAAAGAGGTCCGGGAACGGCGCCGACTCGAAGCCGGGCGGGCAGACGGACTCGTACGTGAGGACCTGCTGCTGCGCGCGGTCCCCGGCGCCGTCGTCGCTTCGGTCGCCCTCAGCGTTGAGGCGGCCGAGGCGCCGCAGGATGACGATGCTCTTGCCGGTGGTGTAGATCTTGTCAGCCGCTGGATGCACGAACTTAGGCGCGAGCAGCTTCCCGTCGTCTGTGCCACGGCGCAGCTTGAACCTGTGCTGCCAGACGCCGCCGAGCGGCAGGTCCTCGGCCCCGTGGTAGATGAAGAAGGCCTCGTCGCTGGGCAGCAGCCGGCCCTCCTCGACCCAGCTGCGGATCTCGCGCAGATAGACGGTGAAGCACTCGAGGAAGATGCGTGCCAGGAACTCGTACAGCGGTTGGTTCCCCGTCAGCTGCGCCATGCTCGACTCGTCAAACAGCAGCTCGAGGTACCGGAAGTTGTCCGAGGTCGGGTTCTGCTGAACCTTCAAGATGACGGCGGACAACTTGAAGAGCGGCTCCAGTACAGGTGTCAACTCCTCCCTGACCGCTATCAGACTGACAACAACTTGTCCAGCAGGGTCGGCAAGCCGCTCTTGGATGCGCGCAAGATGGTTGTCCAGAACACGCAGGCGTTTGGCGACGCAGTCCTGCAGGGCTTGGAGCTGTGGCTCCTTTTCGCGTTGAGCCGCAAAGTGTCGTAGGATACTTATATATCCACCAGCTTCGGAGAACGTCGTAAGAAGAGACTTGTGCGTTTGCCATGCAATGTTGGATATCTGGAAGACAGGATCGGGGGCTCCGTCAGCGTCGAATAATGTGGTGGGCAGGCCGTGGAGCATGAAAAGAACTTCGCGAAGCGCTTGTGTTTCTGAGAGACCGACTTTCCGAATCCTCCCATTAGTGTCTTCTGTCGGCTCCTCTTGTTTCCATTCCTGCTGCTTTAATACGGCTTTTAGAGCATCGTTGTCTTGGGGTTGTATGATGAGATCCTGTGCTGTTCGGCCGGCTGGAGCATCGCCGCCAAAGCTGGAGCTCTCGTCCGACTCATCTCCGGGACCACCCTCGAAGATCTCATCTCCAGATTCGTCGCTGTAGTTGATGGAATCCCATAGGTCCGAGTCTTGGGCCCAGCCGTCCTCTTGGGCGATGTCTTCCCATCGCAGTTTGGGCCCTTGGTCGGCATCATCCGCGCAAACGCGTGAAATGTTCTCCAGTCTAGTGTTGTATGTTGGTTGGTCTGCTAGTTCCAATAGCAAATTCAGAGTTTCCGGGTACCATTTGAAGCCCAGGGATCGAAGAGTGTCTAGGCGCGTCTTGAGCTCATCCGCGAGGGCATCTCTGTTGTTGACGCGAAACCTCTCTTCAAGACCGACCAGAGACTTTTCTACCTCAAAGTGATTAGTTCGTAGGAATTTATGAGCCTTGAATACCCGAAGCGTGGCATCGCGCGTGCGAAGAAAGCTCTTATCATTCTAGATGCCGGTTAGTCTGGCGTTCTGTTGGGAGTGGTCAGACAAGGCGTAGTACCTTGCTTTTCGGTTGGGTCAAACCCGCGACGAGGTCGCCAGTTAGGTTTTCTAACTGTGCAGCAAACGCCATGACGCGAACAGCCGCATTTTGGGCATCAGCAGTCTGCTGTGAAGGTGCCTAGGACTGAGCTTGGTGATGTCAACGAGAAGGCAACGCGTATAGCGGTTTGGCGGGGCGCGGTGGCCCATGGGACGCGCTACAGCGGGTGCTTTTAACAACAGCCTTGACCAAGACGAAATTTAGAATATTGTCCGGTCTATAGGTCACATAACTTGTTTAAGTCAATTTTTCCTACTCTATACGTAGACTTGATTTTACGAATTTTTTTTCTTACTTCTTTTTAAAGCAAGAATATCTTCGAAGCCGCTGCGCAGCCCTCTGCCACCATCGTATTGTTGGCAGTTGTTGACTTTGGTGCCCCACCACCGTCAGTGCACTCCTTCTTGCCCCTGCAGGAGTTCTATTTTTGCCGCTAAAATCGCCCCTATCTCTGACTTCGACCCCGTCTAATTTTCGCCGATGGATGGTCAACTCTCTACCTGCGAATAGCCTCAGGAGCCATCATCCGCCCCTTGGCCATCATCGACACCTATCGCCTAGTGGCGCTACCATCGCGCGATTCATTCCATGGTCAACTGAACCGGCTCGGATAGACAGCACTATTTTTTGCCCCCGCCATCCCACAGCATCCGCCCACCATGGCGATCGCGCGTCCCGTCAGAATGCTCGGCCTGGTCGCCGCCGCCCTCTGGTGTTTTTTGCTGTACCAGATATTCAAGCCGACCGCGTCGATCTACGGGCCCGCCGGCCGGTATACCAACTTTGAGCGAGATCCAAACCTGGACCGTGAGGAATCCCAATTCGCATTCGGCGCAAACAGCCTCAACAGACACCGTGTCGCTAACCCCTATTAGCTACCGGCGAACCGGAGGGCGTCCTCGTTCGCACCTCTTCCAAGTACGCGCCCGATGCAAAAGATACCGACCGCATACCTGCGACCCTACTAGCGCTCGTCCGAAACAGCGAGGTGGACGACATGGTCGCTTCCATGGTCGACCTCGAGCGAACATGGAATCACAAGTTCAACTACCCTTGGACTTTTTTCAACGACGAGCCCTTTTCGGAGGAATTCAAAAAGAAAACGAGCGCAGCGACCAAAGCCAAATGTAACTATGGTAGGTGGAAATGTGCTCTTTTTTCACGCCGAAGCCGTGCCATAGCATGCTAACCCTTTCCTCAGAGGTCATCCCTGACGAGCACTGGGCAGTCCCATCCTGGATCGACATGGACATGTTTGAGGCATCTGCTACTGTCCTTGAAAAGAACGGCGTCCAGTACGCCCGAATGATGTCGTACCATCAAATGTGTCGCTGGAACAGCGGCATGTTCTACAAGCATCCTGCCCTGAAGGATGTCCGCTACTACTGGCGCGTCGAGCCCAAAGTCCACTTCTTCTGCGACGTCGACTACGATGTCTTTCGCTACATGCACGACAACAACAAGACTTACGGCTTCACCATTACCCTCTACGACGACCCGAATACTCTGCCCACCCTCTGGCCCGAAACCGCCAAGTTCCTCGCGGACCATCCCTCCTACATGAAGGAGAACAATGCCGTCAAATGGGTGACCGACAGCGAACGCCGACCGGAGCACAACCTGAACGCGCAAGGCTTCTCGACGTGCCACTTTTGGACCAACTTCGAGGTCGCCGACATGGAGTTTTGGCGCAGCAAGGTCTACGACGACTACTTTAACCACCTGGACAAGGCCGGTGGCTTCTTCTACGAGCGCTGGGGTGATGCGCCCGTCCACAGTATTGCCGTTGGTCTTTTTGAAGACAAGAGCAAGATCCACTGGTTCCGCGATATCGGATATCAGCACATTCCCTTCTTCAACTGTCCCAACTCACCAAAGTGCAAGGGATGCGTGACTGGCCGCTTGACGGACGGAGAGCCATTCCTTCACCGGGAGGATTGCCGGCCCAACTGGTTCAAGTACGCCCACATGGACTAACTCTGACAACGACGACACCGAATCGAAGTCTCTCCGTCTTTGTTACGAACCAACACTTGTGTACACGAATAATGTGGTAGATTCCAACGACAAGGAAATTTGGCGGTATCAAACACACGAAAACGAAGCACAAAAAGAGCGGCGAAGCCGCATGGGGAACGTGAAGACATGAAAAACACACAATCATATAATCTGGGTCTTTGTTTTCGGGCCGGTGTTTAGGGCGCATTTGCTATCGGAGACTGTCACATATATCACTGTTTATCGGACAGCCAAGGCCTGTGGGAGGCGTTTTGCAACTAGAACCTACGATTTTTATACACACAAATGTACATTTAACTTTCATATCTTGATAAATGCTGACCAAATTGAAATCAGAAAACCAAAGAACACAACCAACTCTAGCGCGAGGAGGATATCGTAGGCAAGGAGAATATCGTAAATCAAGCAGCAAACACAGTGACAACGCCCGACGTGCCTCCCACGCAAAACTGATCTCCCCAGCCGTCGTCCCTCCACGCCATGCAGCTGACCACGTTCTTCCTCGGCCTGTCCTTGCCGTCCCTTCCAACCGCCCTCCTCCGCGCCTCGTACCCCTTCGGCCCCCACGGCACCGCGACCTTGCCCGCCAGCTTGCCCGTCAGCAAGTCCCACGCCAGCACCCTGCCCTCCCCCCGCGACCGCTCCTCCTCCCCGGTCATCTCGTCCCCCACCAGCACGTAGCGCTCCTTGCCGCCGAGGATCGACTGCACGCGGAGCTCCTCGTTGCGCCACCCCGCCGCCTCGTACGCGCGCAGGCACGCGCCGTCCTCGCGATCCATCAGACGGGGCGGGCGGAGTTGCTGCGCGCGTCCCACAGGCGCACGGTGGTGTCGAGGCCGCCGCTGGCGAGGATGCCGTCGCCGTCGCCGGCGAAGGCGACGCAGTTGACGCGCGAGGTGTGCCCGTGGGCGCCGCCGCCGCCGAAGCGCCGCGTGGTGACGGCGGAGGCGACGTCCCAGAGGAAGACGGCGCGGTCGCCGCCGCACGAGGCGAAGGCGGTGTTGCTGGAGGCGACGGCGAGGCCGAGAACTTCGTAGCCGTGCGCCTCGTAGGCCTGGATGAGCCGGCCCTGCGGCAGCGAGGCCGCGTCGGAGGAGGCGGAGGCGGTGGTGGTGGGCTGCGGGTTGTACAGCCGGATGGTGCGGTCAGCGGACCCGGTGAGGATGTAGGTTCCGGGTGATGCAGAGTACGTCACCGCATGGACGGGGCCTGGAAAAATACGGCCGGGTTAGAAACGGGTTGAAAGGGGGGATGATGGGATTGCTTCATACCGTTCGAGCCCATCAGATGAGCGACTGGCTCACATGAAAAGGCCATGCTGAGGGTAGTGTGAAAACGGACAATTGAGTGGCGGGCGCGTTCAAGTCATTGTAATGCCAAAGAAGGACGAAGATTTTTCCTTTGATTCGCCCAACTTTTACGATGAAATGCAAGATTTCATATTATCAGTGCTGATGTCGTGGATAAGTTTCTCTGCATCAATTTGTTTGAAGCCATCACGTGCTGGTGGGTACAAACAGCACGGCCAACACCAGCTTCCTGTTCCCTACACCATCGACTCTCATCACCACTCGCCACGACCATGAACCAATTGATGACTACGATATACTCGACTGCGGTCTAGGGTAATTCTCAGACGCTGGCTGACATGAGTACAGCGCTCCTCCATCCATGAACCACAACAATGTCCGCGTCCGAGTTCGAGGGGTGCGTCCAACGTCGCGACAGATGCATTGTCGCGGTCCGTTCACCCCCCTGACGTTGCGAAGGAGTCAAGCATCGCACGATGAGAGCCGCAAATCCATCAGAAGCGATATTGTATCATTCGAGGGGGAAAAGTTTAAAACCCTAAATGGAGATCGTTCGAGCCACGACCCTGGATCGGGCACCCCGAGCTGGGAACTACCCGAGAGCCGAGCCTCTACTCATGGGTATCTCGGTCGCTTATTTCATCGCGGTCCGCGGCCAGCGGGGCAAACACTCCGCATGTCAAAGATGCTCGGCCTGACTAGCGCTGGGTGGTCAGTTGATCTGCTTTGGTCACTGAATCGATGCTCGTGGCTGAAACCAAGGGACCAACAACCTTGTTGGATTGTTTCTTGTTATATGGAGAGATGCTTAAGCCGTCTCGAAGTTCAACGGATAGACCGAATAATGGGATCTATCTTACGATCATGCGGTACCAGAGGTCCTACCCTGCACAGTCCGGAAGCGAGTTGTTGAATAGCAGCAGCATCGTGAACGCGAATGTGACCACCATATGCTAGAGAGTCAATGCCTTATGTGGGGGAACAAGCTTACCAGTAGCCGGGGAGTGTGTATTCTAGGCAAGGATGGAGGGCAGGCCTCGGTCATGTCCAGAATATCAGCATGTCAGGCAAACTGAAGGGCGTGGGTTATGCTCCTCACCTTGTGCACATACACACTCCAACAAATTGACACTGCCACCAACAGCTCCTCAGTTACGGCTCCTGACATCTGTTCTCACACCCTCTCGAGCTCACGGCAGTTCACCCTTCTCGGCCTGTCGAACACTACAGAGTTATTGAAAGTTGTACAAAGGTCGTAGCCCAACACCTTCAGTGTCAGTGTACACAGATACATTTCCAGCCATCGTCAGATAGACTCCCATCTCTTGTCGTCATCAATACCATAGCCAGCTTATCACAAGGAGCTGCCTCTCCATTTCTCTCTCTCCCTTTGCAGGAGACGACTCAGGGCGCCAAGAAAGCATTAGACCCGTGTGGCTACCCTGGAGGTCGTCTTCTTGATCTGGACCTGAGCCCAAAAGCTTCGCAGCTGAACCTGCAAATCAAGAACAAGCAGGCAGCAAATGTAAGCAAGGGCGGGCCAGCTGGCAATCTCACTAGGGGCGTGGAGGATCACGATAACCCGAAAGCCTGACCGACGCGCCGGGAATACGCTTCGCGATTGGTGCCATGGAAAGCGTGTCTCCCTTCTCCCCCCTTTCTCTCTGCCGGCATTTGAGTAAAATTTCCGACCTGACCTCCGATAGAGTGGCAAATTTTGGCAAAATTGCTTTTTCGTTTTCTGCTCTTTTCGTTCATCATCCCGTGTTGGCGGCAGATGGTGGACAGCTGAAAGACTGACTCAAGCCGTCTCTCTTCCTCATACTCGACACCTCTTGTTCTTGTGTAACCCACCATGACAGTCAATAGCGTGTCTCTTGGGCAACGGAGAGGAATATAGAGAAAAAAAGCCCCCCAGCGCCTGAGGGGCGTGTCTGTAAAAGATCCAGTTGTGTGTGGGCTCAGAGTTTGCGAACCCCGGCAGCCTGATTGCGAACCAACCTTTTTCCTTGCCTTTTCTTTACGAAAAATCTTGCCATTAGGGCGCAATTTCCACAAGGAAGATGCTTGCGTCAAGCCACCACTCTACATGATGCTTTCAACTCCGCCAGGATGAACCTTAAAGAGGGAGAAAGCAGGAACTTGGAGAGATTGATTGTCAAGAAGGGGCAAGGGAGCTCCGATTTCTTTCTTCAGCACGCGCGCGGCGGCCCCTCATAGCGAACTGTCACTTTCTCTAGTAACCCTTCTCCTCGACATGGCGTGGCAGCGGCGCCTTTTTCTCCCGGAACCTTTGCATTGGGCACTAACAATAATCAAAGTTGCTTGTAGATGCTCGTTTGGTCTCGGAATATTGACTAACTTGGCTGGGCCGAACCCCTTTGATAATGACAAGGAAATCGGGTTCCTTGCCCACTTCGGTAGTGGTCGTGGGGGCGGGAACGCAAGGACGCCGAGGTGGGCGTCTATTGCGAATTCTTGTTGGTCGCCCTGACAGAAGAAGTCTTGGACTGGTTTCTTGAAAACTTTCTTCAGCCGGGAGAGCGCAGCACCACCGAACTCGACACACCCATCACCCAATCCAACTTGAGTTGTGCGACGTGTAACAATTCTCGAGATGCCTTGGGCCAATGGCCTGTGTAAAGTTCTCGACTCTTCTCGAGCACATCGCCCAGCCGGAGAATTGATCCCAGCCTGCTTGCCAAGCGCCACAGGCAAACGAGACAAAGCAACTACAGATTACTCTGCCAGCCAGCGATCCTTCATTGTTCTCGGGTGGGCAATGCAATGCTGACGACATCCAGGGTCTCTCCCCCCCGGCAGTCGACCAGGCTGGGTTTCAAAGCGCAAGTTTGAATCTGGGCAATCTGACCGCCGGACAATATTGCACCCAATCATCGGGGAGCACTCGAGGTCATCTTCCTTGCCATGTGACGCAGAGACATTTCCGTTTCGGTCCTGTTGCAGATGCACCAAGGCAACCAAGACAAGCAGCTGAGAGCGCGTCGACCGCCTTTCACTGAGGGGAGAGAGAAGATGATTGATCTCAGGAGGCAATAAAGAAAAACCCGGAATGTGCACGAAATACAGAAATCGGTGCCGGTTCTTTCCTCTTTTCCCTCGGAAGCTGCCTGAAGTACACCAACTTGCCTCTCTGTAAGCCATTCTTTACCCGATGCAAGCGAGTTCCAGGCAGGACGAGGCTCCGTTCATGAGCCGCCCGCCTTCCATCCTCGGACAGGGCTTGTCGGAAGAGCCCGCCTACAGTGGGTATCTACAACCCAATCCTGCTCCTGTCTGGCGCAGGAGGAAGAGGTTGTTAGTGGATGTAACCTTGTCGGCCGAGATGGCGAGAGATGTCCGCGCAAGGAAGCCATTAACGCACGGCACGGCACGGGTTAAGCGGACTTGCTACAATACTAACTAAAACTGCGTTTCTCCTGCCACGTTGGGGTTAGCAAGCCACGGGTTAGGCTGGCGAACTTCTCCGCGGCTTGGTCTTTTAGAAGCACACCCTATCTGACGAGGCAAGGCACACCGGGATGACGCGCTTGTAGGATAGAAAACTTGGGTCCGTGGAAGGCGCAACCGTCAGCATGCATCTTTCAGCATCCAGTATAGTCCAGGGAGATGCTTCCGGATGCGGAAAAATGTGTCGTGGATCTTGCGAGATGCGGCCAGGGACAGCGACTTGACGCCCGCCCCAGGCTACATGATACATATGCAGGTCGACCGGTGAGAAGATAAAGATGCTCTGATTCAGGCATGGATGGGCACGTTTTTGCTGGTGCACTGGTAATAACTGATGCCTTGCGCAAGGAGGGAGGGAGGGCGCAGCGCCGGAAGCAGCCTCAAGTACACGGAGGGGGGGGGGGCATCTGTCGACTCAGATATGCGATGCATACTTGTCCATATGATGTGCCAGAATAGGTTCTACGCGGCGCTCGATGGATTGCTTGTATGTAGGTTATTTTGGGGGCTGAGCCGCATGCCGATGGGCGACGACGCTGCAGGCCTCACATGGGCTGTGGCCTGCATGACTGACTGGTTGACTGGGTACCGTTGGATGTATCTAGTCTATCAGATATCTGTAATCTGTACTCCGTACTGCAAGTAGTTAGTTGGAGTACAACAGTGTTCATTATAGTCTCAAAGTCTGTGCAGGGAGGCGGAGTCGCATTGCGCATGCATGGCTGCTCTGATGAGCCTCGATTTCAGGTTCATCTATATTTTTCCCTGTTTAACACATGTATGTACGTATAATGCCCTTCTCTTTGACTCGTGTGTCTTGTCTCGTGCACCGGCCGCGGCACGGACGCACGCCGAACGTGGGTTTCAGGCTTCACAATTGTAGACCAGCCTGGCCATTGGTGGTTGCACGAAGCAGCCCTACTTTGCAAAGGATCGCATCGTTGCATTGCACTCATTCGCCTCTTATTCTCAGAGGCTCTTCATTAGTCAAGAGACCCGTACATGATCAAGCAACTAATAACTTAGATGTCGGATACCTACTCCGTAGTCAGTTGGAGCTCATCTCATTTCCCCGTCGCTTCAAATGCCCGATGCCTGTGACTAGTTAACTAGCGATGCAGATGGACCCAGAATACTAAACGAACGAACGACCCCATGTTCTTTTCCACTTGGAAGCCGGAATGTCACCCTGGTTTTCCGTAGCTGAAATTACGTGTCTAGCTGGAGTACACCCCGCAGTCTGTATGCACAATATTACCCTTTGGTTTTTGTGGCAGCATCTCTTTTCAGCTAGTGTCTAATTAAAAGGACCAACTACGGGCTATCAACGGCGAGTCGAAAAGAGCCGAGATGCCATCTCCTCTCTTGGAATGACACGTGTGTCTTCTGTTGTCGTTGAGACTTGATGAGTAGTCATCCGGCTACTCGAATGCCATGTCAAACATCCCTGCAACGTACCATCCATTGCCTCGTCACGTCGTCACGCTACCAACCCAAACTGGC